TCTTATGATTAATATTTCTATTAGTATGAATAATGCCCCTAAGATTTCTAGTTTGAATTTGAGTGTCCACATTTTTGCAGATTTCCTCTTTGTCATCTCACACTGCACCGGATGGAAATGAGGCCTCCCGTCTCTGGGTTGCTTCATAGCAGAGGCCTGACAGACAAAGTACTAGACATATCAAATAACAACCTTCATTAAAACTTGGTGCACATGGATAATCTGACTCCCCTGTTGAGCATTCAGGGATTTGCTAATTCAGATAAATGAAAATGAAACAGTAATATTGTAAGGGTCAGTGACATGGAGGTTTTGAGCCAAAGACGGTGGGTTTCGTGGCTGCAGCACTCAGGGAAATGTGATTAACGTGCCACTTTTTCAGTTTGAGGGCTGTCTTGTGTTTCAAAGAAAACAAACTAACTATTTATTGGTGTTTAGGTAACACTGGCTAAAAACAACAATGTCTAACTGTATTTGTCCTCACTGGTTGATTGAGGGAAGGGGGTTTGTGGGGTTATGAAGCAAACTGTTAAAGTGGAGAAGTTTTTTTAAATGATCTTTCATTTACTTTTTGATTTTTTTGCTGTTGTTTGTTTTAGAAAATACTATGATGCAGCTACTTTTATTTCACAGTTTGCATGTATACCATGTTTAACCGTATTAGGAAAATATACCTCCTCTGGTTAAATAGTTTTTGGCTAATTACTGCCTAAAAATCATGCTTATGCAAACCAAAATAAAAATGTTCACCAATAGACCTGTAAACAGCCAAAGCAGCCAACTGAAGGCTGCAAAACTGAATTCCCTGGGAAGAAGAGAAGGAGACTATGGGATGGAAAAAACCTGATAAATGCATATTAGACTGTGTTCCCTCACAGCACTCCATGCGTAAGATGGGCAACTGATTACCACTGTGGACAGACACATGGTTTACTGACCTTGTGGTCCCATAATGCTAGAGAAAAGGAGGAGAGCCTCTGATCTGACCAGAGATACCTAAGGCCGTGCATTTGTGCGCTCCCTTTGTGTGTGTTTAAGAGCACGCCCCAACCAAATGCAATTAGTCTGAACCCACTTAATACACATGCTGCCGTTAATATACCCAAAGAGACAATAAATCTTCACAAAGAAAATTGAGACCGGCTGAATTCATCAACTGAGAACTAGATGATGACCAGAAAGCAGAAAAAAAGAGAAAATAAATTGTGATAAATCATTACAACGATAATGAAGACAGCACTGGAAAATGTCCGAAGAGTCAACAATGCCCTCTGTAATCATTCTACTCATTGCTCCTCATGTGTGTTCCGTTCCTCATTCTTGGACAAGTTTTCTTCTTTCCATTTCTTTCCCAGATTTCCTTCTTTCAAGCCCTGACATTTGTGCCCCAGTCTGCAGCAGTAGCAGACTTATTAATCTGGTGCACTGAAGCAGAACCAGTCAGTGTATTGATTGGCATAGTGACCTTTCTTTTACCACAGATACACCGATGTTGGGGGTTGCCACTCTTTAAGACACTCTCTCACCAGTATCCAGCATAGCAGGACAGGAATGCTGCTGTGCACAAATGACATTCATAGCTTTCAGACACTGTGGTCTCAGCATGGTGACACTTCCATACACTTATCTACCGACAGGTCCATCTGAAGAGGGCTGAGATGAAAATCAATATAACTTAAAAGAGAGGGTGTGTGTTTTGTGTTATTTGGTTGTATAGAACTGCAGAGATAAAACAAATGATGGGAAGATTCTAGTGCTGGTTCTGAATAAATAGCAAGCAACAATAGATTCTTCAGGGGTATATGTATTGGAGATTGATTGTGTTTCTATTATGTGTTTGTTCATTTGCTTGTTACCATTTTTTAAGACCATTTTGCTCACCACCACAAATGTGTTAAGCCAATAAGTAATTGTATTTGAGATTAAGTTAAATGAATTTCCATAGTGAAAATACTGCCTGAATATTAGTGAATTGTACTGCAGTACTGAACAGCAGATGTGACAAAAATTGTAATTTTAAAGGGCACTAATTGTGTCTGGATATATATCAAATAAGCTATTTGGGCATTTGACTGTTACTGTAATTTTACAATGCACACGTGGAGAGGGTAGCAAACATAAGAAAAGATGGGTTTGACTTTAAACACACTTCTTCACTTGGTTGGTGGTGAGATGTCTGGACATGCCAAAAGAACACATGAGGGGTATGTGGTTAAGGCGTGTTCCAATAACCATGGTCTATGATCTATATTTGAAATGTTCTAAATGGCCGGCCAAAGGGAGTGCAGAGAAAATACAGAGGTAAAAGGAACACTGGGGAATACAGGAAACATACATTATTAGCAGTTAGAAAAGGGAAAAGACATCTGTGGAAGGAGTGGCAACCACATGAAGCCACAGGATCCAGATGGGACAGGAAGGAGGGGGCAAATGAGAATATCTCGGCAAGTAGGAGCAGATAAATCACAGAAAACAAAGAACCATAAAACAGAACTAGGAAGAACGCTGAAAAAACTCAGTGAGGAATTACAGTAATCAAGGGTGTGGAGCACAAAAACTACAAATGCACACACTAATAGCATGTGGTGAGTATTGGTTGATAGATGCAACATACACATCCTCTGAAGCTAATGGCACTTCTGCCAGGAGGCCAAAACCAATATGGCACAATGAATGCCGGACTGTCAGCAACATGTCTGCTGTAATGGGGAGGAAGAGAAGTAACAAAAAAATGGCTGACATCTAGCAGATGGTTAACAGACAACAATTAAATAAATGTGAATAACATTTTTTTTTTTCAGCGTTCATTTTGCACAGCAGCTCAGTGGTGACACCTAGCCTCAGCTGGAGCCTTTCTGTTTCAGTTTGCATGTTCTAGGTGGGCTGGTGAACAACCAACCTGTTCAAGGCTTAATCAGCCTCTTGCCCAATGGCATGAGCTCTGACTCCATACAACTAGAATATAATTTGATCAATAGAGAGAGTGGATGACTGGAATCTAAGATGACTTTGTTAAAAACTTTCATTAGCCAGCCAGCCTTGTACAAGTGAATTCTTAAAATTAAGTTTCGAAATCAACAAAGCATAACAAATGCTTCATGATAACAGATTTTGGGGGTGTGGCCATTATATGTTATCTGTATGTAAAGCAAAATTCAGCTAACCTGCTTACGAACACCATACATGATATTGAGTATGAACACTATATGAAAACTGAGCATTAAAATAAATCTGATTAAATGATCCCCAGATGATAAAATCACTCCAGATCTGGAAGCCTTTCTATTCTAACCTATACTTCAGTCAGTTAAACCACCTCAAACAGGTTTTTATACTATGGTGAATTATCTCCTCTTGGGGAGCAGGGGGTTGAGATAAAGAGCAGTCTGTTAGTAACTCTTTGGATCAACTTCAAAATTGGGCTATTGGTGATGTGATGTGGTGGGGTGCAGATGATCGTACTGCTGATTCAGCTGTGTTTGGAAACCAGAAACCAAAGACCCTCGATCCCTTGCCTCCTCTCTCAACCATAGTCTGTCAAGTTTCTCTTTCATCCCCATCGACCCCATTGCACGCCAGACACACACGCCACCCCGACTGTCTCCCCCTGAGCTGCTTACCCCTGGGAAAACTGCGCAAACTATCGTCACTGCTCACCACACCTTCTTCTCTAATTCAGCCAGAAACCTCATGTTTGATGCCGAGCAAGTCCTCCCTCAGATGACACCCTGGTTAACCTCCCGCACTGAATTAAATTGAAACTCATTTTCAACATTACTTTACAGTCTAGCTGGAGTCACGGATCTCAAGACTTGCAAATGGAAATCAAATAAGTGCACATTATGATCGGACGTCAGTTGGGTTTCCACGAATGGAGCCAGTCCAAACTGACGTGCTACGTGTGGACTGAATTTTCAAAAAGGAAATTGCACACACTTTTATGACCGTGTTATACTTCTACAGTTCTCAAAAGTAGAAATCTGTTATTTCTTTCAAGTTTGAGGTGGTCTGCGGCATGTGTTCAGACACACATGACCTTTTCAGCATATCCAAGTACTGCTTGTTTAACCCTTTTCTCAAAACAAGTGTCTCTCTGTTCTCAATTGCATATTTGCAGTCACAGTCACAATGCTCCACCGACAGACTAGTCCAAGTCAAAGCTGATACCTTGTGATGTATCATATGTAACTCTTATCTGATTTTATGAGGTATGTTCAGTGCAGATTCATGTGAAAGAATTACATTACACGCTCTCCACTGTATCATCCATCTTTTGTGGTTGCACACCACTTTATTTACATACTAGCCCACTGGTGCAGTAAATAAGCAACCATGCAATCTGATGGCTGGCTTGCCAGGATATCTGATGTCCATTTATCATCCGTAAGACTCAAAACAATTTACATGCCTACAACGTGTCCTCAAATCTCAGTTTTTCCCAAAGACAGTGAGAAAGCGAGAAAAAAAGGGTTCACATAAATGTTTGTGCAAACATTAAGAGTCTATCAAGAGGACAGAGACAGGGAAGAGTTTTGGAAATCCTTCAAAGTGAGATCCTTCAAAAATATTTTGACAGCCTGCATTCCCTGAGAGGTTTGGGATAAATGAAGAACATATCGAGAAAAGAACTACACAACCTGCAGCAATGACCATTCCATATTAATGATGGTTTTTGAAGGTGTCCGTGTGGCTGGAACAAGAGTGACACACAGTGGCAAAAAAGTGGTAAAGCTTCAGTTTAATGTTCTCATAAAGGGTCAATGTTGAGGGTAGGAGCTTTGTTCTCTGCAAAACTACATTTGTTAAAACGATGGTCAATCTTCAGACTTATTCAGAATTCTGGGCAGATGTAAAATTTCTGATGTGAAAAAAAAGCATGTTTGACTGGATTGAGGCTGCCACACTGGAAAAAGTACGTACTGAAAGCGGTCCCTACAGCAGACTGCCGAAGACTGTTGATCTGCACCATTTAAATAGCAGCAAAAGACAACTTGGTTGTATAATGTCTTTATTAAGGTGTCATTTAAACAACAAGTACAACATTAAAATGACATTTTTGAGACAACATACAGATGTCTATGGCATGTTCAATCTGAGTAGTTATGCTTGGTTTTTATTGCAGTTCTTCCAGTCCTATCAGATCCATTCTTTAAACACCAATGGGCCTGTCTGGAAAAACATTTGGTTTTTGAAAGACATGCCTTTATTTTTAACTTAGAAACCTCCATTAGAAATGATTTCTTCTTTCGGAAGAATCGTAACAGAATGGCACGAAGTTATATCAAATATTATATAAATTATTTACATAATAATATCAATTTAACATTTACTTTCCAAATGATTTCCCTTTTTTAACACGAAGGCTAGAAAATACCACAAATCTGTGGGTTGTAGTAGAAACATTCATATGTTCATAAAGTTATTTCCTTAAACAACTCAGTCTTCCCTAAAGTGGTTACCTCTTTTCACGCTTTTGGTTGCACTCAGGCTTTTCATTCATTGGAACATAAACATTTTGCAATACCAGAAGGAAATGGTAATCTGAAATGGTAATCACACCACACAATACAAAATAGACATCAAAATCTTTCAAATGTCCCAGTTAATTAGAAACAACAAGAATCCTCACAATTTACCACAAAAGACTGTAACATTGTACAGGATGTACATCCAAATATCCCAAGTCAGTACCCTGGATTTTGTGTTTTAGAGGAAGGATGAGGCCTTTGCATTTAATATCATATGGTCAAACTAATGACACACCTTCATTATTTCAAACACAAAGGGCTGCAAAACTAAACTGTGCAGGGAAAAAAGCAAACAACCAAAACAAGGGTTGTAAAAAGGCACTGAGAAGATAAAGCGCTAATTAAGTGGGCAGGACATGAAGCAGCTAGAAACTCCTGATGCTATCCTTCAGTGTCAGTGTGCAAACAAAGAACAGATCCCACATAGAAGGACACACTTATATCCCCCTGAGAAAAACAAAACTGCTTTCTTGTTTTAAATATGTGCGTAGCTCAGAAAAATGTTGGACTGACTGTAATCCTTGCATTTGTTTAGCAATAAAGTTCATTTCAAAGACTACGATTTGCCTGATAGGTGTACACATAAATATAGGCTACCTAATTCCTATTCACTGAAATCTTTTGAACCATTTCTCCTTTCCTGCAGCAATTGTGATATGAATTAAATTAATCACAAAAAAACTAAACAAGAAAAAGATGGAGAAGAAAGCCACAAACTGCGGCATCAAGAGTGATTGTCAACAAGAAAAACAAGCGCAGAAATAGAAAGAAAAATGATGAAACTGTACTGGACATCACTAACCTTTGCAAACAACTCAAAAGGTAAAAGGAATTCGATTAACAAAGTGCTGGCATGGTTGGGACACTCCATGTGCCTCAGCTAAGAAGAGGGGTGTTGTCATTCTCATCCTCAACGTGACTTTCTTCCCCTGAGACAAAAGGTTCTGGCCTTCTGTTCTCACTGCCGGTATCTACGCCGATTACAGCCACAATGCTGAAAAGTAGAGAACATTTTTTTGGAATAATTCAAATCTGTGTTACATCGTCATTTTTACCATTTCCAGAAGAAAAGAGAACATTTCTTAGGAGTATTATCCTTTCCACACAACTGTGTTAAAATTCACCTGGTTATGTTTCTAGAGCTAAAATAACTTGTGATAATTACACATAAAGAATTACCAAAATAGACAACCGGAGGATAACCAGAACAAACAAGATAGATTCACACAGCGTAGAGGACTTGGAGAATCCATTAAATGCAAGTTTTATTAAAACATCAAAAGCCTATGTGCGTTTGGACCCAGACTAGACACTGCCGTGCATAACCCGCTGAAACAGCAGTTTGTGGGTGTTAGATTAAGACTGCTGAACAAGTGACTTTGTTGTTCTGTAACTGACCGCGGCATAATGAACATAGCGGGACATGTGACAGATGTGCACGCACTTCTGTCACAGGAGTATTATATTTCAAAATATAACCCCCAGAATGACTAAGCAGGACTACTTTGTCTAGTCAGAACACATGTAAGAACAGGAGGACTGATACATCATTTAATCTTTAATGTTTACCAAAGTGACAGAACATCAATACGGATGTCTGAAAATTGAAGATTTATTAGTGATATAACAATGTGTCAGATTTAAATTAACATACGATGAGGGAAATTGTTTGGTCAGGGAAGTTGAATAAAAAATGAGGAACAGAGTCTTCCTTAATTCCAAAGGGTTGAGTCAGAAAAAGCATTTCTCTTTTCTGTAGTAGTCATGCAAACCTGGCCAAACAGTGACGTAGGTTTAAAAGCTGTAATTTGACTCCGTCCTCTTTTACACTTGATGCCTGAAAATAATATGTTGTTTATTTTTGAGTGAACAAGAAGGTTTGGATTTTTCTTTTTAACAGATTTTGCTATAGGAGTGTTGTCAATCTACAGCAGAACTATGTTTGTGCTTTGTGTTTTATTTAATAGATCCTGCTAGGGGACTAGGGGCCTCTCTGTGTGGGTTCCCTCTGGGTACTCCTCCTGGCTTCCTCCCGCCGTACAAAACACTGCATGTTAGGTTAAATTGAAGACTCTAAATTGCTCCTACGAGTGAATGTGAGTGTGGTTGCATGTCTATGTGTAGGTAATAGTTGGATGGGTTCCTGCTATTTACATGATAGATTGAGTAAGGCCCAAACTGTGAAGGTGACCAATGTGGCAGCAATCACATCTAATTAAATTTAGTTTGTGCTTAATCTTATATCTTCTCACTAATAAAGCCTTTAGATGTGAATCAATACTGTATATTTAAAAGGTATATTGCCCGTCTTCATTAAAGAAGCTAAAATAAATATTTGCACCTTTGTAATTATGTAAAAGGCTGATGTGTTTTTTCCTTTATTGCTGTGTTCAAAACAAAGAAAACACAAAATCTACTTACCCAAGTACAGATATAGGAATGACACAGAGTCCTGCAGCCAATAGGAAAACAAAACCAGGGTACCATGCTACTGTTGCAGCATAAATACTGTTGAAGATTGCAGAAGACACATTGTTGGTCAAACTTTCCATAAAGGAAAGACAGGCAAACAAGGCTCCTGCAAAAAAAGGAGGAAAAGCAGCCTTTTAAAATAGTGTCAAGGGAAGTTATTATCAACAGGAACATATCAAAGAAATATGTTCAGCCTCAAGATAATCTTTTGCTTAAACAAACAGAAACTGAGAGTGCGTTTCTTTTTTTTTGGTAAAAGTGCAAACTGCAGCTTCTTGAATACGACACGCCTCGGTGGACTCTGACTCTACAAACACAGACGTGGTTCTGTGGTTCATGTAGAGTCCTAAACCCACTCACCCTGCTCAGACTTTGAGATGAGCTTTGACATCATGGAGCGCAGAACAGGGAAAGGCATGATCGACAGAAGCATTGGCAGTCTCACTGCAACAGACAAAAAAACATCAGAAAACAGAGTGATATCATACATCACACGGCTGCTGTCATCATTTTACTGTATTTCAATAAACTTTAATTAGCGGAAATTATATAATATTCTAATTATTGCTTATTTGATAAAGGTTCTGTTTGCACAATATTTGCAATATATTTAAAAAGGTTTTTAGTTATAAGTATCCTGGCATTTAATACAGTTAGAATAAACTAAGTACTGATAAGACATGACAATGATTATATAATGTAATGCTTAGTGTCGTAAATGTAATTTCTTATGTAATAAAGACCGGTAGCCTTTGTTTAACAGTTAAAATGAATGTCAATCAACAGCCAGCTAAACTAGCCTGTAAAGTCTCTTTCTATTACACAATGTATTTTATGTGATTGTAAGGTTTTTGTTTTAATCTTACCTACAAACATTAGCACAGTTGTCTTAGCAAATGCCAAGAGGACCATGCCAGAAGTGACAGACAGGATTCCCAGCAGGATAATGACCAGCTGGGGAACCCCACAGTATGTGAATGCTGACACTCCCATAAAACTGGTCAGGAACACGGTTGTAGAAAGTGCTGCGCCATAGCCTATCAAGACTTCAGTCCAGCACAGTGGCTCATTTAGCTCATAGAGTGTCACCAAGGATATGCCACCAACATAGGCAAATGAGAAGCTGGTAAAGATGATCAGCAGCAGGACCAAAACTGTTTTAGTCCCTTGGCCGGCCCCCGCAAAGATCTGGTAAAAACCAAAGATCATGTGTTTCAGAGTAGAGTGCCGGGGAGATTCATCTAATATATTCCCATCTGTAGGAGCCTTCTTCACAGTCTCTTCTAGGATGAAAATTGCATAGAGGAGGGTCAAACATAGGAACATTGCAGAGGTAAAGAATGGCCAGTTAAAGCCTGCAGCCCTCAGGAAGTAGCCTGTTGATATTGCAGCAATCCCAGACAACAGGCCAATCATCATGTCTATTCCAGCCATACGCAGCGTCTTCTGGCGTTCATCCTTACATAGGTCTGCTATGTAGGCGAAGCAGCCCCCCAGAAATGTGCCCAGACCCCCAAACAGGGAGCTGAGAAATGAGGAGCCAATGAGCAGGTAAATGTTGAGTTCAAAGAAGGACACAGTCAGGAAGGTTGTGGTGTAGATTAAAGAGCCAATTAAAGGCATAATGATGGTGATCTTGCGCCCTCCCCTGTCGCTGTAGGCCACCAGCAGGAGAGTGACAATCAAAGAGGGGATTGTGGAGAGGAGCTCGGAGTAAAGTGAGAAGAGGGAGGCCTGTCTCTGAACCATCTGCAAAAACAGAGAAAGGTTAATTGGTTTAGTCGTATAAAAATGATATCAATATTCAATTTACAACTGGGTAACACTTAAATACAACTAAGATCACTTGATCACATGCAGACGCGATGTGTTGTTTTAGGGAAGGCCAAAAAGAACAAAGTGCTCTACTGTGCAGCAGGTGTGGCAGCCCTCAGTTTGTCTGCTGTTAAAAACAGGGTTTTCCAGTCTGTCTTTCTCTTCCGTGTTGTACCGTATTCATAAATGTGTCATTCTTCAAAAACAAATGCTACCTAATGTGTAAGAAAAACCATATCTCCCCTGATATGGTATGCTCTCACGTGTTAAACGCTCTTTAAATTCAAACCTGATGCAATATTAACTGAATATATAGAAGCTCTCTCTAATGCTAGGGTTCAGAAAAGTCAGTTCAAGTCTGAAGTCCACCCTACATATCTGCTTATTGAGCAGTAACTATCTTGGAAAATACATTTTGTTGTTTAAAAAAACAGAGGTGGGGGTGAAGGTTAAGGAAACTTTATGTTTTAGGACAGAAAAAAAACAGACAGCAGATATGAATATTAGTTTCCATACAAACAAGGCTCTACACACACATATTACCTATATACATACCTATATACATACATAGCCTATATCTCTATATATATATATAGGCGTGTAAGTAATATGCTGTAATACTGACATATTTTTATTACTTATGTCAGTGCATGAATAGGATTAATGAGCAGACATTGAAATTAAGTTTGGCAACTAAAATATGAACAGTTTAAAGCGACTTTTCGCATAAATTTTGCTTTCCTTGTTGTGTTTTAAACTTTTGTACAGGACATTCACCATGACCTTGTTTTGTCAGATGGTAAATTAAAAGCAGCTTGTTCAACATCATGTAAACAGAGAGCACTCGTTTTGCTGGGAGTTAAATGTATGAATGCCCCTCCACATCAAGTAATTGAAAACTGACCTCATGATAGTTTGTGTGGTTGGCGCTGATGTTGGTTGGAGCACATCTGGATGTGTTTCCAGAGTTAGGATAGGTGGTGTTGGTCAGCTCCTGCCAGAGCCTTCTGTAGACATACTGCTGCACGAGTGGAAAGATGAGGAAGCTGCTAAAAGCATACAGGGCCACCACGGGCTCAACCAGGTAAAGACCCTTCATGCTGAGGGATAGAGATTTCCTGAAAAACAAAGAAAGTAGACATGATCTTAATCATATAACAGGGTTAACTTTACATCACTCAGCTGATAGGGAACAAGCCTTTGAGTCCTATTGTAGGCAGGGGAATTTCGGCTCTGTAATATCCTTGTAAATATTTTCCCAAGGCTGCATTACATGATTCTCTCTTTTCTCTTTGTGATCAATGAAGAAACAACATGGATCAAATATTATTTGGAGAAATTCTACATCTGTTAAAGGATAGGGACGTGTTAATAACTATGTGAACTAGTGGACTTCCAGTAAATACAGCAGCAGATGCTGCAGGACGAGAAGGGTCAGGTCACGTAAAATTCGATTACACGTAACAACCCACAAGAGTTTAGTCTTTATCCTTCTGAGTATAAATTGCCAATACATTATCAAGTTTGCACTCACCAGATTAATTACTTACCTAGATCATTCTCCCTCCTTTATTGAGAATAATTATTGTTTACGCACGGTGGTGGGGCGTTTGTGCTTTATACAAGCGCATAAGGTTACGAAAGCCGGGATCCCACCCATAGTTTAATATGATTGGAAGGTAGTTTTTCAAAGTGGTTCTGATTGGTTTAAAGCTACTGTCAATCATCTGATAAACTTGGACGAGAACATTTCGTGACTTTTGTGTGGAGCGGATTAACCGGTAAATTACAACTTGTAGATTTTATTTGTGATTTTCCATTAAACACCAAGTGGAAAGTTTGGTTTGTCATTTGCTTAATTGCTTAAATGTCTTCTTAGATAAAAATCTTCAAAACACCTTTACTAAAAGGTATTACGGTAAACCCAGGGCATGCGTGCTTTGCGTCGGAATGTACCATCTAGCTGAAACACCGGGAAGGATTTTGTTGTGACAGCGGAGTAACAACCCGGTGGGGGTAAAGGTAAGACAGATTCTACAGCTTCTCTTGCTTTGACTAATTCGATTACAACCAATAGTTGTTTGATGAGTACAATATTGTCAAGATTAATTGTTTTACATGCTCAAATAAATGCTTTAGTAATTGACAGTTAGTCTTTCCGGGCATGCAAACACTACCACCATCAATATAGTAAGCTAGCCAATCTTAGCTATCCTTGTGATTTAATCTCGCTAACTCAGCTAACGTTTTCAGCTAACCTTGGATGAGAGAAATACTACAAGCTGCTCTGGATTTATAATACCGTCTCTTCTTTTTTTTCTTTTTTTGGTCTCTCGTAAACAAAATGTAGCATTTGAGCTAGCTGGCAGATTTGCGGTAACCTCTTTATGCTGTTTGAAACTGAAGTCGTGACTGTAGAGAGTATGATGGAGGATATGCCATGTCCCCGGCCTTAAACTGTTAACTCAATCCTTCAGTCCTGTCATCGTGCTACCTGTGATATTTTGTAGAACCAAAATGTTACGGCTCTGGGCCTGTGTCTGCATTGATCGACTGCTATGCTGTGCATTTCGCAATTTAGGCCTTCTTTTTGTTTTTGCAAATTCTTTCTGACTTTTATGGCACATTTCGTAAATTTGTGATAGATTTATGTATAAATCAAGTCGAGCTCAATGATGAAAGTTTTGCAATTTTACCTTCTTTAGAAGTAGTTTTCCTACTTCAAAGAAACTTATTGAGAAGTAGACATAAGGAAAAAGAAAGTGGTCTTTGATGATATCAGATTTAAGAAAATTTAAAGGGGTTCTTTTACACTTGAATTTGTTATCATTCATGTCTTTTTTTCTTTCAGGGTCATATAGGTTTATCAACTCCTGGATTGGCCATGGCCTTCAGCAAGGGATATCGCATTTACCACAAGCTCGATCCACCACCTTACAGTGTCATAGTGGAAACAAGGGCCAGGGAGGAATGCCTCATGTTTGAATCAGGGGCTGTTGCTGTGTTGTGTAAGCATCTTGGTTGATTACAATGTAATAAGCAATTATTTAACTTTTTTAAACTGTTACAAAGACTGTAAATCCAACCTAGACTCTTACAATGTGTCATTTCTGACAGATACAGATAATCTCATTCATATTGAGACATTTGAGAATTTACCTCATGTATTTGTAGCTCGTAGGTTACATTTTCACTGGCTCAATGTTTTCCTTGTTCTTTCCTACTGATCCTCTGACCTCCAGCGGCAGCAGAAAAGGAGGCCATTAAAAATACATATTCCAAAATTGTTGATGCTTATGGAATTCTTGGCGTCCTTCGCCTTAACCTGGGTAAGTCAAGAGATTCATTATTTAGATTTGTGCTCTTCAGGGTTAGGCTTCCATCCAAGTGTTGATCCTGGGCTCTAATGTGACTGAAACCTCTCTGCTTTGTCACACTGGTGCTTCTTAGTTTTAATCTGCTTTATTCTGTCCTACACATGTCCTTGAAGAATCTTGTTATCACGGCAGGGGAAAAGCGCTGTAAAATAACAAAACTTAGTCTTCTGGGTGGCTTAGATTTTACTGGATGGTGAATTCCTTTTAAGGGGTTGGTACAGAAGTTGAATTTAATTTCCTGTCCCGTCTCTTGATGTTTAGAAAAGGCTAAACACTGCTTTCCAACGAATTTTTCATCATCTTCCCCCAGGTGACTCCATGCTCCACAGCCTTGTCGTTGTGACAGGATGCAGCTCAGCTGGAAAGGTGCAGGATTCCGAGGTTTTCAGGGTCACACAGACTGATTTCATTTCGCTGAAGAATGATCCTGGAGATGAGGACCGTATTGCAGAGGTGCGCAAAGTACTCAATTCAGGACACTTCTACTTTGCCTGGTCTTCAACGGGAGTCAGCATGGACTTGAGTCTCAACGCACACCGTAGGATCCTGGAGGATACTACAGATAACCGCTTCTTTTGGTAGGCAAACTTTTCATGTTTTTAGGGTTATCAGCATATAAATAGACAGGGATCTGGCTGCATGAACTAAATAAACATTTCCATATCTGCACAGCCCTCTTATTTGTAAAATCGTAATACAGGCTCTACGAACCATATGAGGGATCGTACAGTTAGCATATTTACAGCTCTGTCCGTCTTTATTCGCAACAGGAACCAATCTCTGCATCTGCACCTTAAACATTACGGAGTCAATTGCGATGACTGGCTGCTGAGGTTGATGTGTGGCGGCGTGGAAATCAGAACCATTTACGCAGGCCACAAACAGGCAAAGGCCTGCATCTTCTCCCGCCTCAGCTCAGAGCGAGCCGGCACACGATTCAATGTCCGAGGGACTAATGACGACGGACAAGTGGCCAACTTTGTGGAGACCGAACAGGTGAGTTGGATCATTAACAGAGTTATCAAGGCTCTCTTTTCTATTTGATAGATGTTATCGTAGAATGCAACTTTTAAAAGAACTGTTACAATCAGCTGTTATAGGACAGCAGTACTATTGTCTGGCACTACAAACTGTAAATTAATTACTTAGTTATCACACTGTCAAAACATTTATGTATGAATGACCTTTTAGTATATTAAGCTCTTAGGCTTTTTTGTACATTTACTGTTCAATAAAACTGTTGCAGAGGGACAGGAACTGTGACATTTTTTTGTAATGCAGCACATTTAGAGAGCTTTGCCTCCTTGAAAACTCACTCAAAGGTCATTTAGTATAAATGTAGTCAAAAGCTTAAGTAAAGTTGAACATTATTAGCTGGACAGCTGTTGTGTAGTGCTGCTTTTTTGCTGGATGGGACTGTATTGTTAGGTGTACTTCTGCATTAGTTCAGCTCATGTGGTGTTGACAGATTTTTGTCATGCTGTTGGCACAGAGAAATGTCGCCCGTTTCTGATACAGCCCCATTTATCTGTGCTATTGACTTTACATCTTCTCACAGACACACTTGCTGATAACCGGTAGAGGTTAGCGCAATGGGGTAATTACCCTGCTATTATCATAAAGGCTTTTGACATCTACTTTAGTCCTTTATGTCACCTGCTCAGGTAAATGCCTTTGGAGATGCCTCTGGGTTTTTTATTTTATTTTAGTTTTTTTTGGGGGGGGGTTGTTTCACTTTCTTTTTTTAAATCATTTTTTCTTTTTCTAAATAACAAATCAACCTAACGAGATAAAAATGTTTTGTTTTTTTTGCAGGTTATTTTCCTGGATGACAAAGTCTCATCATTCATTCAGATTCGGGGGTCCATTCCTCTCTTTTGGGAACAGCCTGGAATCCAGGTAATGGAAGCTGAATCTATCCCATGTCCCTCTGAATTGTGAATGTGGTTGCAAGTGCTTCGGATCTAAGTTGTGAAACCCAATACTGAGCTGAGCGTTGACGCTTTAGATGGGACTCGCACACGATCGTTTGACGTGTACAGGCAAACTTCAAACTACTGTTTTGCATCTGTTCATACTGTCAAAGAGAGAAAAGGTCTCTTTGTCATGACGGTGGATACCTTTTTTTCCAGTTTTAACACATTTTGTCACTGTGTTCAGAAAAAGTCCATTAAGGGTGTCTTGTTGCAACTCAATGAGAATCGGCAACCTAATGGACTGGATGAGAACCCCCACCTGGTATAACCTTTTTTTTTGTCCCTGTTTTTTCAGAGGGGTTGGGGGTGGTTGGGGGCTCTGCTGGTGCTGGTGCTTTAATCCTGCAGATAGCTGTTCCTCTGTGCAATGCCAAAGGCCATGGATGAAAAAGGAATTTCTGTAAGAGCTTTTAACCGGGTCTCATCGCCTGCATCTGCCCAGGAAGTTCTATTTTGGATATTTGAATCGCAAACTAGCATTGTCCCTCAGTGGGATTTTTCCTGCTGCTGTCCTGACATTGCACAGACTGTTCGTTTAGAGCAGAAATTGGGGGAGGACAATGATAGAAATAGTGTTTGGTAAAGGGCTTTTTTCTGTTTTCCTCAGCTCCCAGACTTCTTTGGTCAGGTGAGAGCTTGATCTGAAAACAGCCCCTGACCACTTCCCTTCAATTAGTCAGAGTATTCCCAAAGCAACTGGATAGGTGTTCACTTAAGATAGATAAGACTGAGCTGCCCAATTGCTAGAAAACTAAAGGAAGCCAAGACCATATTGGGCGCCTATTCAGTCGACAAGGTCTTTGGTCTGTCAGAACACAGGGTTGTGGGTTCGGGGTTGTTTTCAGGCAGAACTTTAGTCCTCTCACTTTTATAGCACTGCTTTAGCTTTCAGTCCCCTTTACCACTTTTGACATGTAGGCTCTCCTCCCAATGCTATGAATATATTCTCTGAGCAGGTTGTGTCATTTCACTTTGACCCAGTGGGGGAATCATTATTCTCCCTACAAAATCATTTTGGGAAATATTCACAATGTGAATGGGGTTATATCTGATCTCTCTGTCCAGTGCCTTGATTTAGGGGGAAACAAATCATATTTTCCATTCTTTTTTTTTATCATTTAGCTTGTAAGTCTGTGGCGGAAAATATGTTTAACACCCCCAATTTCTTTCAGTGCAACACAAACATTGGATTTCAGAAAGGCTCTCCTATAAGAAAAGCCCCTATTGGATGGGATTTCTTTAACTGGTGAATTGTTGTCAGCAGCATTTATTTTATTAGCACAGACCTTTAAGTGTAAGTTTTAGAGTTAATTTGAGGAGAGAAGTTCCGATGTAACTGGTCATAATGAGTGTCAGGAGGTTTGGGTCTGAGATGTTCAACTGCAACCAGCTGTAACCGGAGTAGTTTTGATGGCATCTCAGGAAGTTATTAAATATGCATAGACTAGACCTGCATGATAGGAGGGAAAGAAAGGAGCGACAAATGGCAGCAGCATGATCCGGTCATATGCAAACACACTAAGCTGGTGGAAGCTTATAGCTAAATGAAAATAGGTGTTTTAAAGAAGAGACCGAAAGAGCACAGGGAGACCAGAGAGCACAAAGTAGATCCCCATAACTCCCAGAGAGAGAAATTAGTCTTTACAACGAATAGCTGGATTAGGCCTAGAATACATGGTGCTTGTGGCCAGTAAGGGTTGGGAACAAAATAATCTTTTCCTCAGCCGACACAATGCGAACACAGACGGGAAGAGAAGGAATTTGAATAGCATGAGAAAGAAATGAGGTAATATCAGGATAGGAAATGTTGTCCTCAAGCAGCAAAAAAAAAGCAAGTCAGAACATGCTGTGTAGAGTGAGCAGATTTCCACAGAGCGGCCACAGTGTTCACTTCTCTCTAATCTGGTGCTGGCAGAGTCATGTGTGCGATTGTGTCGGCTTCTGTTGGTGTGGCATTAGTCACAGCACAATCATAGGACCACTATGAGAGCACAAATAGAAGAATTTCAGATGGAGAGTGCCGCGGCTCCTTGTCTATGTGTGAGCAAACCTCCCCACACTTCAGCTGTGTTGCCGTCTTTCTGCTCCATTCTTTAGCTTTCTCTCTTTTGATTGTGATTTCACTTTTATGATCTCATCTGTACCGTTACAGTGTTGTCTCCAAATTCTCCCCGACGTCCACGTTCCGTCACTTGGTCCCCTCGACTTCTGCCACGTACGCGCCTTTTCTTTTGTCATAAATTTCTACTGAAGAAGGTCTCGGGGCTTCTGTCTTCACAGGTCGGCTCCCATCGAGTCAAACTCTCTCGGGGATTTGAAGCAAATGCTCCAGCTTTTGAAAGGTAACTAAGATGCCCTATGAGGCGGGCCGTTATGTGACATCCAACAGAATACCACTCCTGAGCAGCACTCCGGCACTTACAGTCTGAGTCACCACTGAGAATACCCTTTTCTGAAGAGGAATATGATAATTAAATTGTGTCCATGGAGGCCAGTTTACTCCTGAGGACTTAAGCATCCCGTAAGCCCTCAGCAATAAACCGGCCTCCTTAAGCTGTAGTTTGTATTCATAACTGGAGGTTTCTTTCCCCCCTCAACTTTTTGCGCTTCTTTCTTGGAGGCACTTTTTAGAGTGAGGACGATTACACTAATCACAGTGCCACACCTAGCACTGGCTCCAGTCTTATCAGCTCACAGCAGCCCAACCTAAACAGTCAGTGTCTAAGTGCCGTTCTCTCATTTAAAGACATTTGTCTGGAAAGGAGGGAATTTAACCAGCCGTTCTGTTGATTTTCAAATATCCTGGACTGTAAAGGATAGACCCAGCAAGGCTCCATATCACTCTCTGGTTTCTTATTATGAATGAATCAAACAAAGATAAATAATCATTTCTGTCATTTAACAGTTGGCTGTAGTCAGAACAGTTCCAGTAACAGCTCATTACCGGAATGATTATTCATCTTTTGTCATTTCAAGCCAGCTTTTCACAGCAATGACCAAGTATTTTCTGCATCTCTTAGATGGTAAAGGGCCAACAATTCTACCCAGCTATGTAAAGTTATGGTTTTTCCCGCCTTTCTCTGTGCCGTTTGTAGTGTTGCTTTACTTTGTGTCATTTTGATCTCAGGTTTTATTATTCTTTTATTACATTTAATTACATATTTATTTATGTTTGTAATGATGCAGTGCTTCTTTTGTGATGCACTTTGCAGACATTTTACTGCACTCAGGAGGTTGTATGGAAAGCAGGTGATCATCAACCTGCTTGGAAGTAAGGAAGGGGAGCACATGCTCAGCAAAGCCTTTCAGGTGAGAATTTTCTGTCCCTGAAACACCAATGCATTTGAAGGGGATTCATATGATCAGCATCAATATTCACTTGTAGCGAGCAAAGGGCCAGAAAAGGTATTTTCCCTTGGTTAACCCACACAACGTAATGACAATGAGGAAGTTTTTCGCATGGGTGGATGGGTCAAGGATTCCAAGGAAGAAGTCAGCGAGCAGTGTTTTTCTTTTGTGAATTAAGCATCAACATTAAGGAAGCAGAACAGGCAGTTACAGGTAGTCAGCTGATCTGCGTGCTCACAGGTTACTCTTCAGGTTTCACTGGAATGCAGCCATTGGTTTGACATTTTCTTGACACGGGCCATTTAACTTGCATGTGCAAAGGTTTTTCTATCATGTGATTTTAAACAGACATGTCCTCTTTCTGTCATCACTTTCAGAGTCACCTGAAGGCATCAGAGCATGCGACAGCAGTGAAAATGGTTAATTTTGACTACCATCAAAATGTTAAAGGTGGCAAGACGGACAAACTCCAGAGTGTCCTCAAACCGTACCTCAACAAATTCGTAGATGAGTGCGGCTTCTTCTACTACTCCGGGGAAACGGGCATTGTGAGGTAATGATGGAATATTTCATCAAAGACTTTTTGTTTGTGAAGATTAATGTTTTTCTTTTTTGCTTATCATGGCATTCAGAGCTCTGACAGTCTTGATTTATTTCTGGCTCTGTGTTGGACCCATTAACCCAACAGATATCCATCTTTTAAGAAGTGCTAACTGTACACTCCACTGTGCTGAGCCAAATTTATCATCAGCAGCTGGATAGGGCTGGTTCTCTGCTAAAGTTATGTTGTGGCTCCCATAGCCTGGCGTGTTGCCTCTCCTCCACACGCTGCTGTCTGTTCTTTTTGATCCATGTGACTCCTCTTCTGGCTCACTCCCTGTTTCTTTCCGTTCCTACACCATTAATCCCTCTGCAGGATTTAGCTCAAATAGATTCCATTTAACTTTTTTTAAAAGAAAATGACTGCAGCGTCACCTTGCTTGTAGCCGTTTCCAGTTGGGGTCATTCATAAGAGAGCATGTGTTAGGTCCCTGTAGAGGTACTTTGCATTTGAGTCGTGTAGGGGAAACTATCCTCTGTTCTGGGATCAGCACTTGAGAATGAACAGATGACTCAGCTGTTTTAACACAGGAAGCGCCACACACTTGGATAACTTTGACTTGTTTCATCATGGTGCATTGGCTATGTTGCACAAGTTATTAACTAAACAGATTTTTTTGTGCTTGGAAAGTAGTTTGAAGATCTGCAGATATACAGGAAGTCAAATCCAAAAACAAAATCATTTTGTCTGATTGATCAGAAAAACTCTAAAATGGTCATTTTTCCCTCTTTTCTCAGGACTCAGGGAGGGACCCTCAGGACCAACTGCCTGGACTGTTTGGACAGAACCAACAGTGTTCAGGCTTTTTTTGCTCTGGAGGTAGGATCCAGCAGCAAGCATGATGTTGTTTCCCACTATCAGTCAGAAGACATTTAATTAAAGTCCCTTTTACTCCCACTTTTAGATGCTGCCCAAGCAGTTGGAACAAATGGGTTTGACAGAAAAGCCGCAGCTGGTGGCCCGATTCCAGGAGGTTTTTAGGAACATGTGGTCCAGTAATGGGGACTCTGTCAGTAAGATCTACGCTGGCACCGGAGCACTGGATGGGAAGGCCAAGGTAGACATTTTACACAATGAATACACACAAACAAGCAGGTTTACAGGTGAGCCAGTTATGTGCATTGTAATAGACAGCAGGTTATCAGAACTCAGTTTAGATTTATTTTATTCAATCAGACGTAGCCAGTGTCATAGCTCATAACCTGCTCCACAAGTTGTTTATGTTATATTCTTAATGCTCAAATCTGGGTTTTACACCACAATACATATGTAATGACTCTTCATTTTTTAATAAACTGAATATTTTGCATCATTGTTCAACTTTTACAACTGCTCCTTAATGGCTCCTTCACTCTTCTGTGGACTGATTTTGAACAGTCTAAGTGTTTTCTGACCGGCATCAGTGCAGCCCAACATAAAAGGTCGAGACTGGGAATCAAATGATAGCTACAATTAAAAGTAGCATTGGTCCCAGTACTATTGATAAGAGGCCAAAGGCCTGCGCTGACAATGAACAAAACTAAATTATGAGATTCTTACTTTAAACCTAGGAACTCTACACTAATCACTGGGGATTAGTTCTGCATGGAGTCAAAGTGTGTTGTTTGAGCAGTTGATCCTCTGTGTGTAGAAGTTTGAGCTTCTGTTTAATTCTTGTTTGCTGTGTCTTTCGGCTATCCTTTGGACCTTTCTACCTGTGTGGTAAGTTAACAAGACAGTCGATATTGTTTTTGAGCTGTGGGTCCTTTTCCTGTCTATTTCAGCTTATGGATTGAATGAGATCGTAATAATGGAGGTTGGATCTTGTTGATTTTTTTTTCTTTTCTTTTTTTTTCCTTTTGGGACATTCCTGTCATACATGCTGTTCTGCAGGCTCCAAGGAGATCTAACTGGCGGAAATGCCAAAAAAAGAAATTGGAAGGGAAAAAAACAATCATGTGATTTTATTTAGTAAATTTTCTTTCATTATCCGCAGTGTTTTGCGAGACCAAGACAATTCTGTCCAAATTGCCACCTTTTGTCCCGAATCAAATCATGTTGGGCATCAAATTTTATCCTAATCTGTAACGTTTTGGGAAATTTGTCATAATTAGATCTCTCTGAAGTTTTGTTTGTCTTTTCTTCCATCATCGCAGTGAGAAAAACACTTTTTTTCGCACCAAGTGAAGCTGATGATAAAAGTGGGTAACTGATTTTCTTTTTACATTACTGCCTCTATTTGTCTTTATCATAGGCTGGAAAGCTAAAAGATGGAGCTCGTTCTGTGACGCGGACCATCCAAAACAACTTCTTTGACAGCTCTAAGCAGGAAGCTATCGACATCTTGAGGCTGGGTTCCACGCTGAACAGCGATTTAGCAGACAAAGCTCGAGCCTTGCTCACCACTTCCAGTCTTTATGGTAATTAGTTTCAACGTGGCAAGATGGCAAATCATTTGATCTGTATGATAAGACAGAGTTAACAAGTTGCACACTTTTTGGTTGCTCTCTTATTGATCACCGTTTAATCTAAAAAAAGTCAAACTTTCCTTTTCATTCTAATAGCCAGTCCTCAGTAGTAGTCCTGGGTTCCTTAAGGCCTTTTTTATTATTACTTCCTTTTTTTTTTTTTATCCTCACTCGCGTTCAATCGGGTTTATGTACTTTACCATTTTGAGAGGAAATGTTTTTTATGTTTCTTACTTTGCTTCTAAAACGTTTAAATGGAAGTAGCATTTAAAGTCACCTGACCAGTGTTTTGTCGGTTTTAGACGGTTTCCTGAAAATATATGAAGAAATGAGAGTTGCCCAAGTTTTTTTGTTTTTGTTTTTTGCTGTTTTGGTCCTGTTAGCCAGAAGCTGTTTTTCAGGATGGTGATGAGGGAAAATTAACCACCATGAGTCAGCTCTTTATCTCAGTCAAAAAATGCCTGTCTCCTACTCTGTCAACATTATTTTTAAAGCAATGGTTAACCACACTTCTTTTCCTTCTCTCCTGCTTGCTATCGCAAACTTAGTCACTGAACCAGTCTTACAATCAGGTACTGTAACTGTCGGATTACAAACAATGGGCTCATACATTGTCAAATTGTCGTTTTCATCTGCTGTTCACATTAGCTGTTCACTCTTCATTTTTCAATGTGCAGTTGGTAGTGGTTTGATCCAGTCTGTGTAATTTAATCAGACTTCAATGATATGGATGTTTTTTTTGTACAATTAGAATTTGATCAATTTTCAGTGGAGATTTACAGACAGCTTTGAACCATTACCAAAGTTTGTACTTTGAATGTTATCAGTGTTTCAGCCAGTTTGCATTTTCATTCTTTTCCCCCCATGCCCCATAGAACATTAGAGTGGACTTCCCTTTTTTTTATACCTGGATTCAATGCCATTGGTTTTGATTATCTTTTTCTCTCAGTTATGTTCAGTTTTCCTTCATTGATCTCCAGACATTCATATTGTTTTGTCTTGTAGTCTGAAACTTGTCTTTTCTCCTTTACAGCCTCTCCAAGAGTATTGCTGGGAATGTGTCAGAACTACCATAAATACACAAGGCCCAAGCAAATTCGAGTGTGTGTCGGGACCTGGAATGTCAATGGGGGTAAACAGTTTAGGAGCATTGCTTATCGCAACCAGACCCTCAACGACTGGCTGCTTGATGCTCCAAAAAAGGCAGGGAATCCTGAGTTCCAGGGTATGTAGCCTTTTGGTTTTCTTTTAGCTTAAGTTCACACGGAGAAAAATGTGTTTCTAAAAGCTATTCTTATTTTGAGGATGAATTCACTGATTAAAGATATTTTGTCGATGCACTTATCACTAAGGCCGAGTCAGCAGCTGGTTGTCTGATCCTAGAATAGAAACGAGAAATGGGAATAAACCAGATTGTTACAACATCCATCTAATGCAGTCTTTAATAAAATGGGATGGATGTGTTATACAAGTGGCTTTAATCAGTAAGAAAATGTCTTGATATTGATTGTAATTCAAGAGTTCTTGTTTATTGGCTGTTACTGATGCAGCCATCGGCCATTGTCTCATTCTTATATCATAATGTCTAAATAACAGATGCAGTTATAACATTACATTTGTTGCAAAAAATTATGAGGTATAACAGTCACTGCTCTGAGTCCATCGGTTTTATCGACTAATGCTAACTATAAGCGAAAAAAAAAAAGAGAAAAATATTTAAAAGCACAAGCACTGAACATGTTTTTTCAGTAATGATCTTCAGAAATGAGTAATCCAACAAGTTATATGCAACACTTGCTGGTCTTGGCTAATCAGCAGAAGGGTGCGTTGCCCTCCTCTGCTCAGGCAGTGACACAACACTTTTTCAGTTGAGAAAATACTGGCCAGATCAGTTAATTACTGATGCAAGACTTTATATACCAGTTTCTGTGAACTTAACTTGTTATTTAGACACACTGAACACTGAAGTGTTTTTTTCTACTTTCTTTACAGACAGCAAAGCCGATCCCATTGATATCTTTGCCATCGGTTTTGAGGAAATGGTTGAACTGAATGCTGGTAATATTGTCAGTGCCAGGTATGCAAACATAATCCGTCCTGTGATAACAAACATGTAGTGTTCTTTCATGCTCTATATGGTCAGTTTATAGTGAAAGAGGTTTTACATATATATACAAATATGTGTACAACTGCTTAGGTCCAATAAATCATGCTTGATAATGTGGCTTGAAATTTAAAACAATTAGCTATATCTAAAAATGTAACATCACAATGTGCTGATCTTTACCTCATCACTCTTTTTTCCTGAAACAATTCTGTTCTAATACTGTCTTCCCTTGTTTCAGCACAACCAACCAGAAACTTTGGGCAGCTGAACTCCAGAAAAACATTTCAAGGGACCACAAGTATGTGCTGCTTGCTTCAGAGCAGCTGGTGGGAGTGTGTCTGTTTGTTTTCATCCGACCTCAGCACGCACCCTTCATCAGGTTTGAGCCGTCCACGTTCTCATGCTAGAAGTTTAAGGTTCATAGGTGTGTGATTGCAGATTGAACCTTCCCTGTTGGTGTGTTTCAGGGATGTCGCTGTGGATACCGTGAAGACTGGAATGGGTGGGGCCACAGGTAATAAAGGAGGCGTGGCCATCCGCCTGCTGTTTCACACCACCAGCATTTGCTTCGTCTGCTCCCACTTTGCTGCCGGCCAATCACAGGTCAAGGAGAGGAACGACGATTACAACGAGATCACCCGCAGACTCACTTTCCCCATGGTAACAACTGTGATAACTATGACACTAACTTATTCACTTCAAAACACGGAGCACAGCACAGCAACATCTGGTTTGTCCTCCAGGGCCGCCTGCTTTACTCACACGATTATGTGTTCTGGTGCGGAGACTTTAATTATCGGATCAGCCTACCGAATGAGGAAGTGAAAGAACTCATCAAACAGCAGAACTGGGATGCTCTGACAGCTGGGGATCAGTTGGTTGAACAGAAGAACGCTGGAATGGTACAAACTACAGCACTCACAGAGCATTGGGTTTTACTTCCTCACAGAAAGAAAAATCATGTGAACCTAAAGATAAAAAATAACATAACATGAGATAATGTACCAGCAGGGTGTCATCCAACCATAAATACTCTTGAAAATTCTTTAACTGAGGTGTTTTCCTCTCAAAATGTCTCCCAAAGGTCTTCCGGGGTTTTATTGAAGGAAATTTAGATTTTGCCCCCACCTACAAGTACGACCTCTTCTCAGAAGATTATGACACCAGTGAGAAGTGCCGCACACCCGCCTGGACTGACCGCATCCTCTGGAAGAGAAGGAAGTGGAACTTTAACAAAACAGGTGTGAATCAGAGCAGTTGCAGACAAGTCATACTGCACCATAAATATACCTTCCTGTAGAAACAATGTTGGAAAGACAATATGTTTTACATCATTCACATTTCTGTGACATCATTGTACTAAGTCTGATTATTTGCTTCTGGACATTTTTGCTTTAATGCTTGTTTTCCAGCTGAAGAGATGAACGTCGTTGGTGCAGCCTCAACATCTGGAGAAACTGAAGATGATCCTGAGGAAGAATGGAGCCCTGGTTCATTGAAGTACTATGGCAGGGCTGAACTTAAGACCTCAGACCACAGGTATCATGATACGATCATAAGAGATGCAGCTCTGGTGGCATTCCCATTAGGGAAGCATAATATGCCTTTCCTCATGTCTCACTCTAGGCCTGTGGTGGCGATAATGGACGTGGACATTCTGGAGGTGGACCCAGAGGCCCGGCACCAGGTGTACAAAGATGTCATTGCCCGTCAGGGGCCTCCAGATGGCACCATCCTGGTGTCACTGTGCTCCTCTGGTCCCGACGACTACTTCAGTGATGAGCTCATAGATGAGCTGCTGGATAAGTTTACCCAGTATGGAGAGGTCATCCTCATCAGGTGAGCCAGAGAAAAGAGACAGAGTGAGGTTTGTGTCAAGATTGAACATACCATATTGACATTTTGTATGTTTTTTAATGTAGGTTTGTTGAGGAGAAGATGTGGGTTACCTTCTTGGAAGGTTACTCTGCTCTAGCTGCTCTGTCTCTCAGTGCTTCCACCGTAAGTCAATGATGAAGATTTTATTTCACCTCCTTTAATCATCCTAAGTTTTTTTCATCAGGCATTTCTGAAACACACTTACTCAACACTGCTCTCATACCTAATTCATTTGATAGAGGTTGTTGAAATGATTTACAGGTGTGTGGCATAATGTGGACCCCGCAGGTGAAAGGGGGGGGCGTAAATGGATCCATTGTTTGGTTTGTGTTTTGTCGGGAGAAAAAAAAAGACCAATTAAAATAAGTCATGGCAGAGTTTTGACTGATGAAAACAAACTAAGCTCATTGTTGTTGCGTAGCCATGATCTGTGTGCCTCATGGGAAACTGGTGTGTTAGCATCAGACTGTGGGATCATAACGCTGACTTACGAATCTGGCTTTGCTTACGTTAGGTCCTTGGAAAGATGATTGACATCCGCCTTAAGAGTCCAGGCTGGATCAAGAGTCTTGAGGAGGAAATGAGTGTGGATAGAATCTGTGGAAGCATTCCTACGTCAGCCAGCTCCACCCTGCTTGCAGAGGATGCGGATATGGGTGACGACGATTATGACATGGAGGGTGAGGGGCAGCAAGAAACTATCATTTTTTTATTAATACATTCACTCATTTTTCTGGCCATAGGCTTATGGAATGTTGCAGAGCCTACAGTTCTCAAACATGAATACTTCCCCTCCTCTGTCCTGTACTAGGTGATGTTGATGAGGAGGTGGAAGAGATCCTCCCCCAGCACCTCCAGCCTGGAGCCGGCTCCGGCCCTGGATCCTCCCCTGGTCCCTCACCGCGGAGTAGCCCCTGTCCCTCTCCCACCCAGGGAGAACCTTCAGCTCCCAGCCGGCCCAGCCGTGGACAACCCTCCCGACCATCACAAGGTGAATACAGCCTCTGCTTGCTCACTCGGCCGCAGTCAGGTTGCTCAGGATGCACATGAATCACCTGTTCAGGCGTCGCCCTGTGTTGGAAAATAAACTATGATTCCGTTGTGTTTGCTACATGCCAAAGCAGATTTAAGTCCGTCATCAATGAGGAGGGAATTTCCAGGTAATGTGATGTGTGATGGTGTCATCTGTGTGTGTTATTAGGAAATGGTTTGCCTAACAATTAACTGTCTCCCTTTCCCGTGTTTGCTAGTGCAGTATTTAAATGAGTGCAGTGCTTTGTCTTTTCGTTAGTCACATGTGAATCATACTTCTGCTTAAGAACAGAATTGTAGGATGTGCCAATTGTCTCAGAACCGGCTCAGTTCGCCTCGAATATGTTTGTGTTTTAAAATAGAACGAGTGCTGCAAAAGTTCATATATTGTGGAAAATGTGATGCAGTTTTTCTCAGAATGATAAATGGTATAAAGCATGTCATTCAGTGAACAACCTATGCGCTCTTTCCAAATATATCTTCAAATTTTCTAAATGTGTTAGCTGACCTTTTCACTCTTTCGTTCCTACTAGGACCCCCTGTGGACTTCCAGCCTGGTGCCCCCACTGCTCAAGGCCTGGAACCCAAGCGCCCCCCTCCTCCCCGTCCCAATGCACCTCCAGCCAGACCTGCTCCCCCTCAGCGTCCACCACCACCTTCAGGTAAAGCAGTGGGCCCCCTCCCCGACCCTCTGTTTAAGTGCATTTCAGAAAAGTCTGATTCTCTTTACAGTTGCATTTAACCGTTGTGAGGAAAAATGTCCAATTTTGCACTTGAAATGCATAAATGTCATTTTTATGATTTAGTATGAGATGTTTTAGCCAAGTAGTAACGTTTTCATCTTTATTCCGCTGCTTTGGATGAAGGGGGCATGAGCCCTCTACCTGTTAGAAAGGAATCTGGAGGTAAAGTGGATGCTATGGGACAGTGTGTTTACATGCCTAAGTAGCTAAGTCACCTGATGTAGCTGCTGCTTTTTACCATCAGAGATATGCAGAGAACCACTAATAATGGTTTTGTAATGCATTGTCGATGTTATTTCTGGAATTCAAGTACTTATTTCAGTTATGGTGTACTCAAGAAAAGAATGAACTCCCATCATGGGTTGAAATAAAAAATAAAATCTTCCCTGGACATAAAATAGTGTATATCTGTGTTGTAGAAGAGTTTGTAAGAGCAGGTAATCTTGGTGGGTTTATGTTCTTCTATATGTTTATATATATTTCTTAAAACCATCCCACTCTCTGTTAGTACTTTAAGAGTGCATTTGATATTTTAGCCTGCATTTATTTTCATTCAGTGTTGTGCTAGCTTGTTTGAATGGTGTAGCATAAACCGTGCAGCTATCTCTTTTAATTTCTTATTTTATGTATGTATGCTGTATTTTATTTGAAAAAGAAAAAAACACCTCTTCTCCTCTTTAAGACTATGGCAAAGGTCCCAGTCCGTTGCTTGATAGGCGGGGCAGTGAAGGTAACTGACCAGGAATTGTTTTTAAACCTCATCTGATCCCAGCGGTCTTACACCGTGTCATCAATGTTATCGAGGGTGGCTGACATTGATGGTTCGCTGCTGACTAAGTTTGCTTCACTGTGGACAGTTGCAGTCCTGTGTGTGTGTTAGTGTGTAACTTTAATGTCAGTAGTGGTAGTGATTTGTTAGCAAAAAGGAGTTATTCAAATGCAGAGTAACCTGCTAATGGTAAGATCCGGTTGAAGAGCCAAAAAGAGAGACATATGTTCTGATGTGGCTACAGAGCATATTTGGTCTTCTCAACATAAAGGACAGCATTTCCTCTGATTTATCAGTAGTGTAATGCATACTCTGTCATATGCATTTCCTTTGATTACACTCCAGGCAGCATGTGTGTTAGGACCTGAAAGAAAATGTCTCAACTTGTTTAAAGGGGATATTATGCATAATAAGGCTAGTCATGAGGCACAAAGTCATTGTAAAGGACTGTCTGACTAAAGGTAGATACCTTGTAAACATGCCCTTATATAATCTGATTATTACAGGCAGATTGTGAGATAGTACAAGTTTCTTTTGTCTTTGAGTTCATCTTTGCATCGGCTTGGTTGGCATAATCCCTGATGATCTGTGGAAAGATCCCCCTCACACAGGGATATGTTCAGACTCACAGCATCCCAAGGATAGCATCTCCGGCTCAACTGCTTTGCTGCATTATTGCCATCACATTCTCTTCTTAGTTCCCCTGTGAAATGTTGTCATTGGAAACACCTGCATCTCATGACTTGCGTGGCGCGGTGTGTGTAACAGTAATGTGGTTTGGTTTCCTTTGTGCTGCAAAGGATCGAAAAGCCCTGCTCTCCCTCGGCCAGATGCTGCTGCAGGTGAGTGCCACAAAGCATGACGTAGCCACGCTCAGCCTCCGTGTCCCACCAAACACAAAGGGCTGTCGGTTTGCATTCGCCCAATCAGAGTCCACCTTTGTGCGGTGTTTCTTTGTACTTTTGATATGGTGGCGAGACGATGCCTCCCTGTCTGGTACAGTCACAGGTTATGTGCTAATGCCCTGACACAAAATATTGCCTGTCCTTGGGTGGAGGGCAGGATTTGGTGGTTCAGCCTATCGGCGGCTTGACCCGCCTTTGCCTTAGCTGTTCGTGTGGTGTCTGTGGTTAACTGATTCCCCTCTTTCACAGTAAGGGTGTGTGTGTTTAGCTGGGTTGACTTACATTTGGTGCCTGCACATTGAACAATAACACAGAAGCGGACATCTAAGTGGTGTGGGAAAATGTTTGCGGGCTCTGTGAGGGGCTCAGCTAAAGAATAGAGACGGAAAAGGAGCATGCCTGCCGAGTGGTGAGCAGCTGGCTCACGGAACAAGGCTTGCATCTCTTCCAGATCTCCTGCAGCTCAGGAATGACTGACTCATCACTGATAATGAAGATGCCATATGAAATATGTTCCCTCATACTCTGAGGTGGATAAAGTGTACTAAGATATGAGTTACAAGTCATAGCTCCTGTTCTGCCCCTGTCTTAACTTACACATTCATTAAAGCTGCAAAACCTATTTTTTCTTGCCCTTAAAGCTTGTGTTAAGCATTCATTTATTGGGCTTTTTTTTCAGGTCGTGGCCAATCTGCAGCTGGAGCTCCAGGACCAGGAGGTGCTGCCAGACCAGTGGGTTTTTTTTTAATGACGTTTTAGGTCTACTTCCTGATTCTTATGAAAAATCCAACTTTCTGTTCCTTATTTTACTTAAACCTTTCAGAATATTCCGCCTCGAGCTGGAGTGATCAGCATGCCTCCTCAGCATCGCCAACAACCTCCCTCTCACCCCGGGGCGCCCAGGCCCATCCCGGAGGTGCATCCCGGGGCCCCTCGGCCTGTCCCAGATAACCATCCAGGAGCCCCACGGCCCGTACCCAGCGGGCAAGCCAAACCCCACGACCTGCCACTGGGTAAAGAAATATGTCTTCATGCAGGACAAGGAACAAGATCTATTAAAGCAGTCTTTATTCAGGAAACATGGAAAACATTTTGCTCATTATTATAGTGATCGTTATCGGAAGTCTGGAAATAGTCAAAAAGCTTCAGCAGTTAAAAAAAAGCAGCTTCCCAAGGCATAGTGGGTTCAACGGGAGGGAGACACAAAAAAAATGGAGATTTCTTCAAGTATAGAATGAACCCAGGCCACACAGAAGTCCTGTAAATCATGCACAGACACATCAGTGGAGAGCTGTGAAAATGGATGGATGTGCTCTCTTTCTGATATGGCGATTTAATTCTTAACTTTTGTGTTTTGTGTCCTCTCTCAGGTCTTCCACCCTCAGGGACCTCTTCTGCAGCCCCCTCTGCGGTGAAACCACAAACTCAGTCACCCATGCAGGCCCCCATGCAACCGCAGCAAGCTCCCCCTTCTGCTCAGTCTCAACTGCCCCCGCCAATGCAGCCCACATATCCTGCACCCCTGCAGCCACAGCAGGCAGCAGCTCCACCCGCCGCCACCCCCCCTGCCGGGCCTCAGCAGGGCCTGGCCTCCCCTAAACCACCTCCTCGCTCCCGCTCCACTCATGCTTTGCCACCCGAAGCTGCCAAGCCCGATTCAGCCCCAGATGCACAGGTTGGTAGTCACTTCCATTGGGACTTTAGCAACTGAACAAAGAATTCATCCAAAAAAAAGGGTAAAAAAAAAAAAAAAGATCACTAAGCGTATCTTACCTGTTGTACTCAGTTCTGAAAGGTGTTAACGGAAAATATAAGCAGGGAAAAAAGCTTATTTTTCTGCCTCTATGACTCAGGTGTCTGTGTCACTCTTCTCGCTTTTGTCTCTCTGATGCGTTTGTCTCTTTCTCACAAGCTGGAGAAGCCATCAGGTTGAAAGGTACTTGATATTAAACCACTTTTTTGTGTCATCATCCATAGCGCAACAGCCCTGTTCTGATGTTATTACCCCTCACATATTACATTCAGTAACCCCTCCCCCACCCCACCTTATGTTGTAATTGATTTATCCACCTTTTTACATCAAACGCTTTTAATCTGGATGTTTCAGTCCTCTGTAAGGCTTTGTTTATTCTTATCCAAGGCACATAAACTCTACTGTTTGTGTTTTTTGCATCGGGGGGGATGATTTGGTTGTTCTTGCCATTTCCCCTTCCTCGTCCTGTCATATGGTCTCACTCTCTCACACGGTAAAAGTGAGCACATATGCAATGCGCTCATAATTATTTGTGCCAGTTAAATCTGTTTGACTCGTTTAATTTGTGTTCAGTTTAGTGACTGTTTGTTTTCTCCCACACATACATCACTAGTCAGTGTGGTTCACTGCAAGTCCGCCACATTAAAGGTACCCCCGAAGCATAAAAAATAAAGAATAAGATAAAGATCTTCCAGCAAGGTCTGTGTGTCAGTTCTCCAATCTGAGAAAATGTGTGCAAGAAAAGCTCCAAAGGGTATCTTTAAGTTAGTTCGTTTGTGTCAACACCAAAATGTTTTTGTGGCTCATTAATCTGAAACGCTCCACTCTTGGAAGCCCATGTAAAACAACTTGTTGGTGTTTTCTTTGTTTTGTCCCTCCTCAGATGAATGGACTGAATGGATTCCAGAGAGAAGCACAATGGAAGCCTGACCCCTTCAACACACTTGCATCAGATTTCCTCTCCCCTGCTTCCTCCTGGCACGCCACCCAGTCACTGAGCAGAGGCTCCTCCCTGCGTTCTCCACCTTCCGTTCCTCAGTCTGCCCTCTCCTCCGCCACCCTCCCCTCCTCCTTCTCCCTCCAGTCCTCCATGTTATCAGACCTCCAGGCGCTGGACTCATCCTCCTCTTCCTCGCTCTCCACCCCATCGCCGTTCGCCTCCTCCCTGCTCCCGCCTCCGCCGGTCCCGTCGCGCAGCCGCTCGCAGGAGATGCTGCGCGCTTCACCCAACCCCTTCCCGACCGACCCCCTCCCCGCCCGGCCCAGCAGCACCAATCCCTTCACAGGCCCTCTGGCTCAGCATCAGCAGAGGCGCCCCCTCACCCCGGATTTCAGCCTCCAGCACCAGGCCATGGCAGCAAACCTTCAGAGAGCCGCCCACACCCACCCGCTGGTCCCCGCCGCTGCGGCTGCCCCCTCAGCGGCCCCCCCCGCCCAGCTCAGCAGGACCATGTCTCTGTTCGGTCCATCGGCCAGTCATAACTCTGTCCACGCGTCTCTGCTCCCTCTCGCCTCCACTCCCTCCGTAGCTCCCACTTTGCCCCTGGCTCCGCCCTCCACGCTCCCAGCTGCCCTCGCTCCTCTCCGCCAGCCCCCCCCCTCAGCGGGGAAACAAAGGCAGTGGGTCACTTTCGATGACGATTTGGATCGTCCAGCCCCAACCAAAACGCAACAGAACCCTGTCTTCCCACCCCCTTCTCTGGTGTCCCAACCTCAGACTCAGCCCGCCCGCTCCGTGTTCGACTCAGAGCCCGACTGGTTATCCCCTGCCCCCAACCCAAACCCTTTCCCAACCATACCCCCTCCCGTCCCAACTAGAACTGCAACCAGTTACCCAAAGCTCCCAGAGGGACCCAGTAACAACTGCTTCTTCCCCAGGGAGTCGACTGAGAGATAACGTCGCCCTTCATATGTAAGGGGCATATCCAGATATGTATAGATCTATGGAAAATGTCAGTGTGTGTGTACAAAAGAGACAGTATTTAAAAGGTATCGACCAATCCCCTTCAGAGTCACAGGAAAGGATTAATATCTGGAGCAGTAATGTAAAGAGAGTCTGAGAGGTTTACTTGTTCCCCTGCTAACAGTTTTAATGTTATTCGCTCCGTTTATTGTTACTCAAGGCAGCAAACCTGTGCCTGTGTCTACAGTTTGTTGTACTATATCTAAATGCACAGTTAATGTGTTTAACCATGTGTGCAATATCAAAATATGTCTGTGTGGCTGTGCTGCCTTTACTTGTAGACTTTAATCTAAATATTTGATGCGTTACATTTGCTTCGCCCTGTCTTCGTTTTATAACCATCCGATCATAGAAGATGAATTCTCAGAGCTGATGGTTACATAGGTCTTTTTTTTGGTTTTGTGACATATATCAGGGGATACACTTTAACTGTTTTACATTTGTCCCACATTTGTTTAAGTCAAAGTTTTCATGAGTCTTCTTGTTTTGTTTGGAGTCTAAAAAGGTACAACTAACAAAACTACACTGCACACATTCCTTCTTTCTGAATGTCCGTTAATTTTCACGGGGTTTTGCCTCCATGTTTACGCACAGCCTGAAAATGAACATGTAAGTCAGTCCACTGCAGGGCTGGTGCCGATAGTAAGACGTTTACTTATTTCTCATCAGGCTACATTATTTGTGAACCAAGGCACTTAGCTCAATTTTTTTTTTGTTTTTTTTTTGTCCATATATCAGAACATATACATAGGGATTTATGTATAAATGTATGTTTTCATGGTGTAAAGTACTTACTGGATGTGTGAGTATGTTTGTGATGGCCATGGTTTGCACAAAAGCAACTGATATGCACTGAGATGCTGTATGTGATCTCCCGGCCCTGCTCTCACAGAAGGCCGAGTGACCTAAACATATGGACCGCAGGTTGAACAGATGGATGGGCTCTTTCGTTTTCCTCCTTCTGTGGTGTTTGGCTCCCCAAAGCTCCACTCTTGATGTGGCAGCAAGCACATGCAGCGTGCGGTAATACGAGGACACTTCTTTTCCAACCTCAGATTGGATTTATTGAAAAGGTCATGCTTATGTTTTCCAGTAAAGAGGTAATCTAAATAATATGTTGCTGGTCCTGTGGTGAGAGGTGACGTTCTGTATTTGCGGTGCAGGTTGTCTGTTGTCGTGTTTGTGTTTGGACGTGAGTGTGTACAGATGTAAGAGTGGGATATCAGAGATTCCCTTAGGACTTTTTCCTCTTAAGACAAAGCAGTGTATCTCTTTACAGTGTGAAATAACAGCCTGTCCACTGGCTGTTGAAAGGTAATACTGTATGCAAAAATGTTAGAAACAAACCACCCTCCACCTGACTGAGAATTTCCCCGTAGCTCCACTAATGGATTACTCCCACTTCTATAGAAAAGATTGACCCTTGAATGCATCACCAAATAGCATTACTTCTCAGGCACGGTGCGGCTCACATTCCAGACAGCAGTTTGATTTAAGTGTTGGATGTCAAACTCAGTGTACACAGACCCAGCTGCAATATTAAACCATAGCCATTTCCCCCTTTCTGAGAGGGTCTCGCTAATGTTTCGGTTAGTTTTGAGTTGCGTGGTGTGTGTCAGCGGTGATGTCAGTATTTTGTCCGGTGTTACCTGCCTCACTCATTCTCTGCTGTTGGCCTAGTGATCATGACAGGCATCGAATGAGCAAAGAGATCAGTGAGAACTTCATCCTCCTCAACGCGACACACTAGCTGTTGTAGTTTACACATGTGCTATCTCTCCCTTCGCCCTCAGAAATGACCTGATGTCTTTAAAATGGCTTGAAAGGCATTTGGATGGATTGTGGAGGCTGAAACATCAGGCATACAGTTAAAAAATTGCTTTGTAATGCTTCCACACTCATAAGCATATATAGAACAAGCAAAAAAGAATCATCACTCACTGCAATCAAAGGAGTGGCTCACTTTGTAACCAAGGCCACCCTGCTATATTTGCTTACACACCATCTCAATGCATTTATCTAAATGTGTGCAGTTGATACTGTTTCAACAGTAGGTTACTAGCCAGCGCTTTGTGTCACGTCACAGTTCAAGATGAGATTTTCTAGGTTACAATTTGCTCCTTTTGTGAGGTGGGTGTCTCTTTTTATGGCTATAATCCATAGTAAATAAGACTTTGTGTTGTGAAAAATAATGTACGTATTAAAGTGAATACATGAAGCTGTGATTCATGTTAATATCCAATGTTCCATATTTTACGTGCCCAGCAGATGGCACATTAATGTATGAAGCAGTTGTTGTATGTATGCAAAAATAAATGTATGTTAACATGAGCGTTTGGCTTTTTTGAGTGTGAACCTAAATAAACTCTAATAAATTCAAACTTTTCCGATAATAATTTCATGTACAGTGCATTTTAAACAACACCCTTAAATCAAACTTGCCTTAATTTAATGTTAGTTTTTGTTTTGCCGTTAGAGGGCGGTAAGACAAGCAGAATTACCGGGTACGTCACTCCAAAACCATAGAAGAAGTGTTCAGACCCATTCTCCTGTGTTAAGGCGGTGGTACTGCCAACTGTAAACAATACAGGTCCAGTCAAAAATAGTGTGGGGTGGCTGTGCTAGTCGCTAGTACTACAAATGTAAGTGTCACAATTCTTTGTCACTTCTGATTACTTGGCTGTATTTCTGAACTTATTCAGAAACACAGCCACTCGGCGTAAAAGAGCAAAAAGTTAACTATTCTCTAAGCGTCCTCAATGCACTGTTGCTATGGTTACACTGTTGTCCTCACGTCCCTTCGTGTCCATTTCCAGGTTACTTGCTCGTTTTTGAGGAACGTACGTCCCTTTTCAGAAGGTCAACTGGTGAAGATGGTGCAGCTGCATGTGAAGCGTGGGGATGAGAGCCAGTTTCTGTTCGACACCACGGCTGACGCTCCTCTGGAGGCGGTCATCCGAGAGGTGACGGCCATTTACAACGGGAGGCTGAAAGTGGACCGACTATGTTCAGGTGAAACTTATCGTTTGAGTTTTCTCATCCTTTTGAATGTTAAACTGTAGGGTTAGGATCGTCTTATACATATCCTACTCTATTTCAGTTACACGTTCTCTTTAAATAAATATTTGTGCTGGTAAATCTGCAATTGAGTTACAGCTAGAGCCAAGTAAATGTTCATCCTGTGATGGTTTCTGAGCTTAAACATATCAGTTTAATAGTGAGTGATATTTGTTCGCTCTTATGTGCCCTCAGAGATCCCCGAGCTTGCAGACCATGGTATCACGCTTCCGCCCAACATGCAGGGGCTGACAGAGGAGCAGGTTGTGGACCTGAAGCTGAAAGATGAGTGGGAGGACAGGTGCATTCCCAGTGGAGGACCGGTGTTTAAGAAAGATGAGATTGGGAGGAGGAATGGACACGGTGAGAATCTACTTCTTTAACATCGTCTACATGGGTAACCATATAGAAGGCCTGGCTGCCTCTTTGGAGAGGCGGTCCTTTGCTTGTAAATGTGGCCTGAAACCTCACACCTCAGGTTTTTAGATGCCTCTGTAATTTAGACGTTTCACAAAAATGATGCATTTGCCCTGAAATGCCCCCCTTCTTTCCCACTAACAGCTCCGAATGATAAAATGAAAGAGGTTTTGAAGAAAACTGTAGAAGAAGCAAAGTCACTCATCTCCAAAGTGAGTATTAGAGTATGTACGTTTACATTATTCGCCACTGATGTGATCAAACTGTAACAGCTGTCATTCCCCTGATCTTGTAGAAGCAAGTTCAAGCCAATGTTTGTGTCACAATGGGTATGGTTAAAGAAGCCCTGGATCAGCTGAGGGGTGCAGTAATGATAGTGTACCCCATGGGGCTGCCTCCTCATGACCCGATAAGAATGGAGCTAGAGGACCAGGAGGACCTTTCAGGAACACAGGTGACCGAGCAGATCTTGTTTTGTTTTTGTTTAAAACAGTTGGATAAAGTTTCATTTTTGTCCCCATTATCTGAGTCTGCCATCTCCATCTGTCTCCATGCTTCAGGCATCTCTGCAGGTGATTACCGAGGATGAATGCCAACTATGGTGGGCGGCCAAAGAGATGCAGAGAGGGAAGAAACTACAGGACTACATTGGTAGAAATGAAAAGACAAAGCTTGTGGTCAAAATCCAAAAGGTGAGGCATTTGGGCCAGTCTGTGTTATACAACAATATATTTTTTTCTTTTTTTTGTTTTGTGACATAAATGACTCTCCGGTGCTGTTTACCTCAGAAAGGACAGGGGGCGCCAGCGAGAGAGCCTGTGGTCAACGACGAGCAGCATAAACAGATGATGTTGCATTACTACAGAAGACAGGAGGAGCTCAAGGTGAAGACAGGCACAAGCAGATCATTCACTTTATGTAACTGTATAAACTTTAAAAAAACTTTCTTCCTTTTCTACATTTTCAGAAACTGAATGATGCAGACGATGATAGCTACCTGGACTCAGAGTGGTCGGACAGACAGGCGCTCAAACGACAGTTTCAAGGCCTCACAAATATCAAATGGGGGCCGAGATAAAGTTAACTAAATCTCCCAATGCCTGTGACCTGGTCCCTAACTTCTCTGTGTGCAGCTGACCTATACGCCTTATCGCAACCGTGAAATGTTTCCTCTTAAGGTGACTTGAGATTTGCTTTCCGGTTGATGTGTTCCCATGGCATGACTCTGCTGACATTTGATGAGGCACTCATCCGATAAACCTCTCCTATTTTAAAGTTGTGCTAAGAAAAATAAATATTTTTACTGTACATGAAAAGAGTTAAAAAATAATTGTTTCCAGTGGAAAATTGTGTCCAGTTTTCCATGCCTTGGAGTGCAGGGACAAGGATGCAACACCTTTCCTCTCTTTGTCTCACAGAAGTGGCACACACACACCTCTTAAAGTCACTGCAGCACTGAGGCAGGAAGTGACCACATAGTGTTTATCCCACCAGAAACAAGGGGCAGAGAACAGCGGAAACCTAATGGTTTAAACATGTGGATTTAAAGGATATTTCTACCAAACACACATCTCGTACTAGCTCTTTGTAGATGAGGAACAGCTGTAGACACTAAGACAGAATCATGTTTGGATCTGAAGAGCTGGCAGATTTAACTCGGTTTATGTAAAGAGAGAATTTTCAAAGTGTGATTATGATTTATTGATTTCATGTTAGAGGGAGCTTCGACATACGAGCTGAAACGTCCTGATCCTTTCAGGTGGACGGCCCCTGACCGGTTCTTTGGTTCATGTCAACTATGCAGCAGTTGAGATACTGAATAATGAGGCATCAACACAGATGCATGGACGTCTGGTCAGCTTAATGGTGCTGAGCGGTTATCTTTCCCTGTTTGTGACAGTGAAGAAGAGCTTAATCTGGTGATGATACAGCAGTTATATGGCCATCATTTTTGTTGCACAGAGCTTGTGGATCCAAGTATTTCTGAGTTAAATTACAGCAAACAGAAGTGTTTTACAATGTAAAAATAAAAATGTGGTCAAACATGTGAACGCAATGCTAAGAGACCTACGACATCTAACACGAGCTGTCCTCCAGGTATGAGTTCATCCAGATCTCCTGGATGATCATCTCTCTGCGCTCGATCCTCTCGGCCCGGTCGGCTGCCTCGCTCACATAAGTCACCTCCTCCCAGTTAGATATGGCCTTCCTGTCAGCGGGCGAGAGCAGGGAGCTCTCTGTTCCCTCGTCGTCACTGTCCTCCGTTTCGTTTTCGCAGTACTCCTCCTCCTTCTGAACGTTTACGGTCTGGCTGGCAGACCTGACCGTGAGTCTGTGACGCCCAGTGCAGGTCACTCGCACGGACAGAGCCAGCAGAGTCAGGAGGAGGCCGACACACACACTGGAGGTGAAAAGCAGCGCCGCCATCTCTGGGCGCTCTGTAGGGGGGGGGAAAGGGGTAGATTTAAGATATTTTCTCCACAGACCGGCCTTCACAAGTGCTTTTTCTAGATTTGTACCTTTGATGTAGGTGTAGGTCAGGAGAGAGTTACTCATCATAGCTCCAGAATGTTCTGGCTTTCTTGTTCCTTTAGACGAAGGTTCTCCCAGATCTTCTGGAGAAGCTAACAGGAAGATTACAACTAGAGTGTGAGAACAAATCCATAAAAAGCGCAGACTGTAGTAAACGGAAAAAACGGCCTTACCTTTTTCTGTAACAGGAAATGCAGTGGAGCTTAGTATGCTTGGGTCTGCCTCCTTTAGAAGAGTCTGTGGAACTGATGGTGGGATAACTGCTGTGAACAATTTGCTACAGTGACTTTGTGTTGCTGAATCTGCAGTCACACATTTGTCAGTGAGCTACTCTTGTACATCTAAACTGGCCCACAATGGAATCTCAGTCATGGCTGCAATAATAACCGCCCTACGAAGTTGGCACACATTATTGTGCTCAAAATAGAGCCCGCATTACCAGTGAGAGGAATTCTTTCAACACCAAATGATCATACATGTGAGCAAAGTTGCCGTGTGACCCTAGTGGCATTTGGGCCAATCGGAGGAAGCTGCCAGGATGTAAACTGCAGAGGTCAGAGTTTATTGTTGCCTGCTGCTGTGTTTTTTGGCTACGATACGATAAGAATAGTTGATGGCTGGGATCAACAGATAAGAACTTCCATTCAGAAGCTACGAGTACTCACTCAAGGAACTGTCACATTCTGAAGCAGGCCAAACAAAAGCACACGTCACACCAGTCTGTTCGTTTTTTCAAAAACCTAGCTGTAGTTTGTGAGTTAGTGAATGAGGAAGCAAAAGAGGGGCCTACCACAAGAATAGAGCACACTGAGGTACTTCCTGGTTCCTGGAAAGCAGGGGTCCCTGAAGGTCTGGTTGCCAACAGCAACAGCACACTTCTGTTTGCTGTAGCAGGACTTGGACACCGAGTGTAGAGCCTCGTGGTTCAGACACTCTGTAAGGAGCAGCTCGGTTAAATCAGGGAATTTTAACATTGCATGAGAGCTTCTGAATGTATGCATGTGATGTTTCTACTCATGTGAATAATCTTGTAATAGCTGCAGATTCATTGTTTGATAGTTGCCCCTTTAACAACTGAACTGTGTGTTAGTTTAGTCTCCATCATTTTTTCTTCAAATAGTTAACCACTTACATCCAACTGTGTAAATTAAACCACCCTTGAATCGTTTCATGACATCACACCGTTTGACACCGTTTCATAGTAGGATAAGCATAGGTGTTCAGTAACTCGGGTGGAATGCAGCTACCAAATGTCCAAACGATTAGAAACCAGTCCTCTGATTAAAATAAATAATGTTTAAAAGAAGCCTGCACTGTTTTTGCTTGTCTTTTCCTTAGAGGCCCAGGTATCAATACATCTCCACTGCTCTGTGTTGTAAAGTACATCCAAAAATAATACAGTAAGTCAACACTATTTTCATATCTTACAAACAGAAAAATCTATTAGAATTAAGATGAGTAAACATGCAGCGAGTCGGCCCTTCTGACAGCCACAGCTGTGCGTTACTGTTGGTTTTAGGACCGACTCACCGAACGGGGGTGGTCTGGTCAGGTGTGAGGGGCAGGTGTCGGTCTGAGCCAGACTTCGGCCGTAGACAGCTGCGTAGATGACCAGCACCCTGGGGGGCTTACAGCGCAGGACCATGGTCTCCCCTTCACATGCCACGTGTCTTTTGTGTTCGGCTGAGTGAGGAGAAAAAAAAGTCAAGGTGAGGTGGTGGTGGGACACAGGGCGCTTTGTGCGGCCATTCCACACTCATCCCAGCCCGAACGTGTGAGACAAACCGATGGCAAGATTAAAAACTAGAGAAATCTGAGCCGCCGCACTCACCGGGTTTACACTTGTAATCCACATGGAGGTATTTGGTGGTTCCAGGGCATGGGTCTTTCCCAAAAAGCTGGTGATTGACAGGCAGCTGGCACATTCTGTGACTCTGACACTCTGAAAGCAGCTTCTGCGCACAAGAAAAATGCCAGGGGACAGTCTGCAAAGTCCAGTGCTCAGGATCTGATGTCAGCGAACAGGGATTAACCCGAAAGAACCAAATTTAATGCAAAAGAAAAAGATTACTCAACCTTCACGAGAAGGGGAAAGACTAATGGGATAAGCTCTTACAAATCCATCACTTTTATACAGCATTCACCAGCCTAATGGGATTTTACTGTAAAAGCAAACCACACATGAGGGACGAGCCCACTCAAATAAAGTACGGAACACCCAGCTATTAATGAGGAACCCAGGATTCTGCGTGTCCCGTCTATAAAGTGCACCTGTAGAGCAGTAAAAGCCGAACAGCTGTGGTTGTGGGGTCTGCCCGGAGAGTCCCCTCTGCACAGGCGGATCTCCCCGCGTCCGTAGAAGGCTGACTGGATGGAGATGGTGGAGTGACGTGGACAGTGCAGTCGCAGAGGCGTTCCGTCACAGGCGTGAGCTGAGTGGCTGCTGATGATCCGGGATAAGTAGTCTGCTTAAGAAAAGACCATGACCAGGTTTATTAGCAGAGAAACTGTCTAAGTGGACAAAAACATTCTGAAAATGTTCAAGTGCAGACGCTTTAATGATCACTGAAAATCATTTTTGGGCATGTACCTCTACAGAGTTACTGGACCAAATTCTCTGGAGCTCTGACTGATGCCCCGTACTGTCTCAGCAACCATTACAGTGCTGTCTGAGAGCCTGTTCTCTTCCTGGGTGGCAAATGTCACGGCTGGCATTCAGGTCACCTGGTTGTTTATTATCTCAGACCCTGTGTAACGTTGTGACGTCTCTCTGTGCAATATAGTCTAGTTACAGCTTTTTGCTCATGGGAAATAACCTCAAACCAGAGCCAACATGCATTTACTCTACATCCACATGGCACACTGACCCTACAGTACACAGCCATGCTTTTCCTCTTGTCTGTATAAGCACTGGCCTATTCCTCAAAGTAAGGCACCATCATCACCATAATCATCATCATCATAATCTTACTTGAAAAGTCAGCAAGTCCAGTCATGCGTCTCGTCCACAGGAGTAAAGTGAGACAGAAGAGGCTGTGGCTCCAGTCCAGTCCGTGGTAAGGACGCTTCCAGCTCATGACCCGCATCCCCCGTCCCTCTGATCATATTAGAGACCTACGACCAATGCCCCCGGGGAGACTTCTAGGACTTCATCATAATGACCAAGACAAAATCCCGGGAGGCTTCCCCGACGCCTTCAACAGCCATCCCTTTCCAAATCACTGACATCCAGCTGTCCACTTTTCACAGAATCTGCCCTCGGTGGACCGTTTGCTGATCTGAGAGAGAGAGAGGAAGCAACGCTGGACCTCAGAGGAGGTCTGAAATAGCAGCTGCGCAACAAGTTGTTCCAGAGTGACAGAGGAGCGGGATCAGGCCGACGCGTGGCGGCAGATATCCTCCCGGTCCGAGGCCCCTGCAGCTCGGCTAGCGGCGCGGGTCTGTGAATGGATGCATGTGGAGGCTGGGAGCGACTTACTGGAACAGCTGAGGGGGAATCATGGAGTGGGCGTGGCGCATCAAACTATGTTGAAGGGAACAGGGGCGACACGCGCACTGCTGTGACGCATGAGGGCGTTTTTGCATTAGATCAGAACCCCCCTCTCCAAAGCAAACTGCTGCGCATTAAGCAACATCTAAATTATTTGCCATATGAATTAGATTGCTAGTTATGTCATGTGGCATAAGTCATTAGGAACTGAAGGCATAGAGCTTTCTTAAAGTTGCCATAAATGAGTTTCTTTATTTGACAAAACTGAACAGATACAGTACAACTTAGATAAACTAGCCCATCTCCCAATTTAGAGATGCAACATTGTGTGTGAAAACAGTCAACATAAGGCTGACAAACTTTAATCCTGACTGTCAAAACTTTTAAAGAAAGGAGAGCTCTTTTTTTCTTAGCCATTTCTAGTTCTTTCTTTTCATAAACTATTGATACCCTGACTACATGGTGCCTTTCAGAGAAGCTGGGGGGCCCACAGTGAAAACTACCTCCCACCCCGCATCCATGACCCACTCCATGGAAACGGGTCAGTCTCCCTGTCAGACCACAGACCTGGCCGACAAGAGTCGAGCTGACTGACAAGCCTGAGGTTCCGGTAGAAGGAGGCTGACAGATGGGAGGCAACCCGGGGCTGAGATTTTGCATACAGACGGGACAAACTGGGTCTCTACTCAGCGCTTCAGCTTCAGGCACAATGGGAGAGGCTCCAAAGCCCACTTCATGCGCTGTTATTCTTCAGAAGCTTGCGGTATTCTGCTGTCAATCTCAAAAGGCTTCCTGTGCTTTGTTTTTAAGACTCAGTTCAGACATGATGGCCAGACGGTGAGGAGCGTAATTGCCCTGGAGTAAATATAATTAAGGGGGATGTTGAGATCATGTTGAGCATTTTCAGTGGAAATGGTCCAGTGATAGCATAAATTCTTGTTTAAGAACACAGAAACGATATACCAATAACCCCTCTGATTGGCTTGATATTATACTTTGTTCTATGTTCAGTCAGTCCAGGCAAACAACATCAAACAAACAAGAAAAGAGATTGTTGACCTCCAACTTTCCATATCTACCAAGCCAGCCTTGTTGGAAGAAAAGTTCTTGTCATGTTGTTAAAGCTTGGCTCCAAGTGGAATCACAACCTCAATTAGACTACAGCAACAGGAGAATAAAGACTAAACACTTGATGAACATTAATGGTGTTTAGAAAAACAGGAAGAGAAGGAAACAAAGACCTGACCAACCACACCAAAGATTAGCGATTTCCATTCTTCCCTGACAGAGGCAAATCCCTTGTTTGCTTGGTGGAGCTCACTATCGGCTCTCTTTTCGATGACGGCATCTCATAGAGGACCAGTTCACACAGAAAGAATCACTAAATCTAATTTTCAAAAGCATAAAAATGATCAAATCCTGCACATTGGGCATGGAACATAAGAACATTTCCTTAAGTAAAATGGGATATTCATTCCTCCAAAGGCAACATTTTGGGGAACAAATTCGCGTATCGCAAAAGTATGAAGGTGAAGACTTTATTTGTATATTTTTGTTTAAAAACAAACAAACATGTAAATGACACATCATTTAAAATCCACATTCATCTCCAGCTGGGAATCAAGGGCAACCTGTAAATGAAGTACAGAAAAGCACATTCAAATGATATAAAACAATGAGGTCACCTCGTTTTTCCCCTTTGGGAGACTCACCAGCTCTCTTTTTGCCTCCTCTATTTTCACCTGTGCCAGAGATGGACTCTGTGAGGGTTTAGAATGAAAAAACAAAGACAAGTTCAGAAAAACAAATTGGCTTACATAGTTTATAAGTATACTTAGGCTACTTTTTTCAAATGATGGCATGGGACAAGAGGGGAGAGACTGTACGGTTCGGAACAAACAGAAAAGGCTTACTGGGCTTAGGTCCATGTAAGGCTCCAGTTTTTTTTTCAGTGGGATTATTTCCTTTTTCAAGGCATTAACGTCCTGCAGAGACAAATATTAAGATGGTACGTTTTGAACCCCTAAGCAGACAGTGTGAGGTTTTTATTTCCACGGTGACGACTGGGGTGCATGTAGAAAAGCAGAAATACCTCAGAGAGCTGCACAATAGCCTGGTGTGTAATAGACTTGTCCATGTTCCTGGATACAAGCTGAGCCTGTAGCACAGACCGAGCAGAAGGTTAGCAGAGAGGACCTGGTCTGAATGTTGTGTGAAGCTGGGAGGCAGCAACATATTAGTTATCGCCTTTGTATATTCTTCAAATAAGTATCGTAGACATTTCTTTCAAAAAAACAAAGTCACTTCACACAGTTTCCATTTACAAATCAGTCTCTCAGCATCATTCATCATCATGAATCAAATCATCTTCCTCTGCGGCCCCTAAAAGTACAAGCGTGTTACTTTCATTTCAGGCTTACATTTCCTTATAATTTATCATACGATACAGCAACGCTTAACACACCAGATGACATCTTTTTCTGTATAACCGGAACGAAAGTAAGTGCAACACCACAGACACACCTCTGATTTATCCTGTCTTTGACTGAGCTCCTGAGCTTTGGCTTTCACAAAACCCATGGTGAGCAGCCTCTCCTCTGCTTTGGCGCTCTCTATCGCCTGAGATTTCTTTGTATTGTTGAGGTCCCTATCAGACAAGACAGGATTTTGGCAAATGAACACAAACAGCAGGCACAGTTATCACAAAGCCCCCCTTAAAAGTCTGATTCTTACTCTTGTAAGTTTCCCCGTAGCACCAGAGTGGCACCAAGTCTCTTTCTGAGGGCTTTCAGCTCTCTCTCAAGTCTTCTGTTGGACTTTTCGGCTTCCAGAATATCACTGGTCAGGTTGTTGATTGCTGGAAAAAAGCTATGCAAGACGATCAACTGAAGCTTTCCAGCAACACTCCTCATGAATAACACAGACGACATTACAGCAATGGCTGCATACCTGCTCAGTGACGTGTCTCTCACTCCAAGTACAATGGCGTGGTCCACCAAAGCAGAAACGTACTCTGTGGCTTGTTTGGACAGACCTGAATAAGAGAGGCCGACACCTTGCAGAAGAACATCCTGCAGATGAGCAGCTACGTGGAGAGAGCAGAGCCAGGAGGACGTGATGACTTTGGGTGTTAATTACTGAACGGCCGCTTCTTTAGAACATGCATAACAACAGTTTCTGTATGTGTTTCTGTATTTCATCCACATAACCCTTCATACTTTCTCCATTCTTCCTTCATTTACTCACCATCAGCCTGATACTCTGACGTTTTCTGTTTGAGGTCTTCTACAAGGAGAGCTGTTTCACTACACCGGGCTTCACTGGCCTGTGCCAGCTGGTACAGTATACCCACTGTCCTGGTGTTCACCTCAAACTGTGGAACCGGCTGATCGCCGAACACGGTGCTGAGCCAGCTGTTCACCTAGAGGAGAGGCATGCAAAGACCGGGTATATAGGGCGGCCAAATACAGATCAGTAAACACAGAAAACGGGAATTACCTTCTTAATCTTTTCACACATGCTGACAAGGGGAGGCGGAAAATGTCTAAAGCCCAAGTACTTTGAGAAATTTTTGTGTTTCTCAAACAAACATAAGCGACGAGAAATGTTTTTCGCGCCTCCCTAAAAACATACTGATAACTTCCGGGTTTTGAGCCAATGAGCGGACGATGCGGATGTTGACTGCGTTTGAAAAACAAAACAGAAAACGTGTGATTTAGCACAGTTTTTTAAAAACAGGAATGGGGTAAGTCAGATAAGACAATAATAAAACAAGATATAAACGTGTTTAATCCGAGCATGAAAAAATTCGGCAGTTTATTTTTAATTCTTGCAGAGATTATATCTGGTTAAGATGGTTTACGTCTATTCTACTGACGGACAATGTCTGAACATAACATCATTAATTAGTAATTTAACAAAGACAGAATAGATGTCACTTTATGGTTTTGTCATGTTTGTATAATATGTTGTCTATCATTGAAGTAAACATTTTATATGGCAGATTATACATGTAGGAAAACCTGAAATAGTAAAACCTTTACACAGAGGGCACTACAGGAAGTGCGTCCAAACACAAAACCGGAAGTACTTAGGAGGCAATCTTGCTGCTTCTGCATAGTTTAACGACCGCCAAGTTTGAAACACAAACCTCATGTTTGGAAGAAAATCGATAGACCCAGCAGAAATGACGACAAGAGACAAACTAAGTACATATCACAAAAAAAGAATGAATAGGACATTTGAATCGTCCAGTAGCGAGTCCACCACATTTGAAGAGAAAAAGCTCGATAACGTATTGGAGGAGGAGGAGGAAGACAACAACGAAGGACCGATGGTCTTCATCTGCGGGAAGTGCAAGTTACCAGTTGGAGATTCAGTGTCCTGGGATGGAAGGGAAGACGATCTAAATCAAATAAGACTGGAGCGTGAGTATGCGACCGAGATTACTGGTTTTTATATCCCTTCCCAAACTGAATATCAACTTGATTATACGACAAATGCCACGATCTTTAGAACGGATCTGTAACATGCTGTGTTGCATGTACTTGTAAGAACAGGCCTCAAGAAATCCAACGTCCACTCTTTTAAAAACAAAATGAATATTTAGATCTGTATTAATGAAATAACAGCATTTTTCCCCCCAAACACCAAAGTCAGAGTTTTATGTTTAAGAAGGAGAATGACTTAATCTGTTAGAGAAGTTGTGAAAAAAAGTGATGCTCTGGACAGCTAACATGTTGGGATGTTTTTCTATGTTAGGGGTTACTGACAACGTCCTGGTTGGGAAAGAAAATCGCCCGTTTGAAGTGGGAAAGCAGACTCTCTGGTAAGAGGATGCTACTGCTGTGACGCCTTTTCTGATTGTTTGTGGAAGCAAATGTACAAATACAGCAAGTACTGTGTCCATCTGCCCTTGGTTGAAAGACAGTTACCTGACATTACAGGTCCTGTCTTTGTGTTTTAGGTCCCCCTGGGTTAAATTGGGCAGTGTTTTTAATTGTGTTTCTATCCGCAGTCTGATCGTGGACCTCATCTGCAGGGGCTGTCACACCATACTGGGCATGGTTTACACTTCCACTCCCAAGATCTTGGACCACAAGAGGTTTACATTCTGTCTCAATGTTGCTGACATTGACAGGTAAAGTTTAATGACATGGATAGCAGCTGTTTTTTGGTTTTAGTAGTGTTCAGTTGTTCTAACACGTATCAGAGGATGGTCAGTGTACGAGGAGGAGCACATGACTGAACCCATAAGACAATTTTACTGCATTATTTAGAGCTTCTTCTTTTTTTGGTCTCAAATTTGAAAATACAGACCTTTGATTCATTTGGAAAAAAATAAAGAAAGAAAAACTTGTGCTAAACTGATGTAAGATCAATAGCCTATAAAGTAAGTGCAGTTTGAATTGAAAACGGAATACAAAACATACCAGTGATTTGGACCTTCTATTAAACTGAAAATAGCACAAAGCATCATTTAAAGCTAGCATTCTTTTATGTGTCGGTTATAGTCTGAAACATCCGTTCCCACCTTACAACAGCAGTCTTTTTGTCCTTAACTGTTTTTATTGAAACTGTTTTGTTACTGAATGCACAAAGGGTGATGTATGCAGACTTCCCTGTGCATGCATGTGTCTATGAAAGATGGAGCAATCACAGCAGATGATTCTTTAAGAATCTTTAAGAGAGAAAACAGAGGTCTTTAGTCAAGTCTCAGAATTTTTTGCAGCCCTTATCATTTTTCCTAATGTAACAATATTTGAAAGACACTGTGTTAAGTTGTAATAGTTGAAGCAAAGGGATTTTTTTATTGATTTGGGTAAGAAAGAATTAAGAAAAGAGGGTATGTTGAATTATGTCAACGGTGGGAAGTGCCCATTGAATACTACTGCTCTTCAGTAGTTTGTCTTCCACCCTGGTAATATTAACTGTAACTCTTTTCCAGCTATGTGCTGGGCTCTGCTGGCCAGATGTTGACAGCAGAGGGCCCCAAAGAGCAGCCGGTGACACTGGAGTACAGAGGCAGTGTTGAACACCAGCTGACAGAGGTAAATCACTGCTGCTTTCCTTTGTCTGCTCCCTCTAACCTGTTCCTGCTGTTCCTGCTAGAATGTTCTCATATAAAATGAGCACACTGTCTGTCCTTAAGCACGTTTTTAAGTGCCGCCCTTTCTTTACCTCAAAGTGTTGATTTTCTTAAGTTTTATCTTGTTTGTGGATTTTAATATTACTGTTTAAAACTGTAGGAAAATTGAAAAAGTTTTCAAAAATGCGAGCTACACATTTGGCCAGTTTCAAATCAAGAGCACTGGATGTTGTGTTGTCTTGGTCTCTTTGCTTTAGGACGAGCCCCTCATTGATTGAAAATGCACAGGTTGTACTACAGAGGGGATGACATCAGCTCCATTACTGCTGGAGAGGGCAGACTCTTATTTCAGACATTACCTCATCTGTCCATCCGGGCCATCCACTGAAAACACTATTTATTTTTCATCCGATGTCACAGACTTAAATAAAGTGCTTGTGTATTTTTATAATTCCACCCAGACCATGAATGTTAGTTTGTAAGTAACCATCCATCCTCAGAATTCCAGTTTTCATTTACGGTCATACTTTTAAATAGCGTTTTTCTGCTCAAATCTCCAACATAAATAGCTCTAAATGAATCTTAATCACCCTTTGTTTAGGGAAATATCCACAGATTCCCAAACTGGCCAGTAGGTGGTGATGGTGTGCAGAGGTACCTGCCACCTGCCACACTACACTAAGGGACAATAGATATGATTGGTGGCATGTTGAGGAATCCTTGTGACTAATGAAACATGTTTTCATCAAGAGAAGCGTCTTTGTTGTTACAGGTCAATGTATGCCTGCTATTTAGTTTGACTTGTTTTTCGGCGTCTGAATTATCAGAACCTGCCACTTAGCCAGTTGTTAAATCTGATCGGATGGTGAAAGAAAAGTGAACCGAAAACTGGTTCTGCTTATCATAAGTTAAGTATAAAAATATGCCTCTGGCCTCCGGCACAGTGAAACTTATGTAACTGGTGTCACGCATGCAACGAGGGTACATAAGGGCTGGGGACTGTCACATGTAAAAGCTCGCATAGGTACTGTCACATGTAAAAGCTCGCTTAGTCTTGGGCTAAAATGCGGGTTACCACTTAAATCCAGCCGGTCACTGACTGCGTTTGATACCGGTCAAAATAAATGTATTAATCTGACTAGCTGCTGACCAATTGTATACATTTTTGGAGCTTTAGAGTCGTCTTTCATTGTTTGCCGTATTTACTGGCCCAGGATTATGAGGGATTGTATGCATTTGAGGAATCAGAATCTGAGCTTTCTGTTATTGTATGCAAATATTTCAGCTGCTTGAGATGTTCTACGTTTATTACTCTGCATAGATTTAAAAGACACTTTCAACTCTTCAGTTCTCTTTTGTGTATGTCTTGTACATGCATATTGAATTTGGCTCCTTTGGATTGCTAAAAAAGTTAGTTTGGTAATAACACTGTTTTGGGAAAAAAAAGCTTTAAAAGGAATTTTAAAACTTGCTAATCCCTCTCCTTGCTTTGTAAATTAAGAAAATGGGTGCCTGACAACACTTTTAGAGGTGTCAAGAATATTTTTTGTTTTCTTTATTTAGAAATACTAATTTGTGGTTTTAAAACTCGGCCTTTTCGGTGCTGAGTCTTTGTCCTCAGCGCTGCTCTGTGTGATGGCGCTCATCGCTCCTCGTGCCACAATTAATGTGTTCTGTCTGGCTGTCTGAATTGGAGACACTTGTTTGGGTTTTTCATCTTCTATACTCACTGACCTGTCCTCCATATCCCATCCCTGACCACCTCCCCTCGAGGATTTGCCATTTTTCCTCCCCATATTCATTTTCCAATTAACTCTACCCCTCCCACAGCCACACTGCTTTCTCCTGCTCCACTTATTTCCCACCTGTCTATTTTCCTCTTCACTTCTCCCCCGTTGTGGCTACTTCCACTCTCTCTCAATTTTTAATCTTCAATCAAGGTTGATGTTTAAAATGCCTCCTCTCTCTCTCCTTCCCGCCTGTCCCCGACCTCTTTCAGATGAAAATGCTGGTCATGTCCATGGCGCAGAGGTTGAAAGAGATTGAAGCCGGTCTAGAAGAAGGGTGCGACGAGGTGTGACGGTGATGGACGTGAACCCGCCTGGGAGGGTTTTTTGTCCAGGTGTTGTCCGCGTGAGAATCTAATGCTAAAACTCCTAACCTGGACCTTTACATTCACGCCCGCCGTTCCAAAGTTAGATTTCAGCTGCATTCTGTCTATAGTACAATTTGTCCTAGGCTCACCTTGATCAAACCACCTACACCCACGCACACACACTCCCATATTCCACTCTGCTTTGTCCTGATTACTACTGGCGAACAAAGACTACCAGCACTTGTAATCAATCATGCTGCCAGCTCGCCTCCCGCGGCTCGTGGCACCATCGTTTCTGTCGGCCTCGGTGGCGAATGAACGCGCACCATGAGCAGAATGTTTATTTGTGCGAGATTTCATCTGGCAGGCTGCACATTCAGCACAATGCTGTATTGATCTTGCCACTTGAGGTCACACATACACACACTTTTTCTTTGTTCTTTTCCTGAAGTGTGTGGCCTGTTTGTTGGACATATCTTTCATTTTCTCTGTTGAAACCATGACATGATTAGAACAGATCTTAATGACAAATACATCAGACAGCTACATAATTACAGACAAATTCACCTGTGAACTCTGTAAAAAATGAATTTTTTCTTTGTTAGATTTTTCAGTGGCGTCCGTTCATGATTTGTTATTGCATTGACTTTCTGTTTGCTTGCCTTTGTTTTGGTCAATCACAGTTATTGTCGTGTAGTGAAGCGTTTAACACCTTCAAGAGATATTTTAACCATATATGTCAGTGTTTTCTGTTTGACATGGCAGATTAAAACCAATTAGAACTTCCAGGATGAGCTTTTTTCAAGTGTTTCTTTCTCTGTTGCAACCAGCCTGTTGAGGATCAGGGCACCACCCCACTCGTTTA